CCAGAAGAGCAATGCCCCTTGTGGGCCTCGAGCTGCACCCCCAGAGAAGGTGCATGACACCAAGACAATGGTGCACCGAAAACACGGCGGAGATGACCAGGCTGGCACAGCATTGGGGAAGCTGAGCTGAGTAGTATAAAATCGATTATGCCAGCATGAGCTTACAAAACATTCATTTTTAATGAGATGTGAAGAAATCTACTGGTTTGGAGAGGAGGAATAATAAGGGGATAGGTATATATTAAAATTCTTTATAAATAGGTTTTATAGAGTGCTAACTCACACTTTTAAGAGCTACTGAGAGCTCTGCTGTTTAACGACTGGACGGTGAATGTGTTGATATCCAATGCAGTAAACTCTCAGTGTTAATTTTAATATATAGAGTTGGCATATCGCACTATTATCTTTTCCATTTTGTTCTTGTCCTTGAGGTCCTTTATTATTATTATTATTGCGATTTATATAGTGCCAACAGATTCCGTAGCGCTTTACAATATTATTAGAGGGGGGATTTGACTATAAATAGGACAATTACAAGAAAACTTACAGAAACAAAGGATTGAAGAGGGCCCTGCTCAAATGAGCTTACAGTCTATAGGAGGTGGGGTATAAAACACATTAGGACAGGGAAAAGAAGTCAAATTAGGTGGGAGTGGAGCAGAGCTGGAGGAGAGAGTAGAGTGCTGCCCTTTAGGAGAGAGCAAGAGGCAGGTACGTGACGCAGAGGTTAGTCTGGGAGGCCATAGGCTTACCTAAAGAAAATAGTTTTAAGGCACTTCTTAAATGATTAAATGATTCAGTCTTTAAAGACTGAAATTGTAAACTACCAACCTCTAAAGGTGTATGTATATGTACATATATATTCTGCTATAAGTTTGAACACAGTTTCTCTGTATAATGCTTTATTTTTTGCCACGGTTTACCACACCTTTTCTTTTTTTCACGTTACCTCCCATATGTTGCTCTAATCTAAATAGGCATCAGCCTCCGCAACAAGGGACTTGATTGTGAAATAACAAAATGATCTGGCAAAACTCTGTTTTCCTGGACTTGTCCTGCAACATTTTGATGATGTATTCTCCTCATGCAACAACTGTTCTTTTACTTCTGTTGGGTTTTGATTTATTTAACCCAATTCCATACTTCCTAAGGAAAACTAGTGGTATCTATTCTATAAGAAGCGTGGTGTCCTTTCCAGTGTATTTTGTTTCATGGTTTCTACTGACTTGTGTATCTATTAAATAATAATAATCTGACATTGGTATCAATATTTTAGAGAACTATGTTCTATAGACTTTTACTGTAAACTACTCTACATTTATGTATTTAGGGAATAAGCAAAAATTTGAAAAAACTGACTCAACTAAGAAAAAGGTGAGGGGCACAAAGAATTACAAAATAAACACATACAAATAAATTCATAGTAGAGAATAATGAAAAGTTTAGTTTGCTAGCTTTACCCCTTGCCCCTTTATCAACAGATTATTTTCTTTACTTCCAGCTTTACTATTGGGATGTCATTGAAGACAAAAGTTAGAAACCATTCAAATTCTTATAAAATGCTAAATGTTAATCTATGTAACATCAAAGCTTTCAAGATATTGAAGGGGTAGGGCAAAATATACTATAAGTACACCCACCAGGTTATTACATAGTGGTTGTCATTAAAATCAATTTTCCATTTTCGCATCTCATAACATAGGGTGATTCATGGCATAAGACTTTGTATATTTGATGGAAAAATATGTGTTGCATCTTAATTAGGCCCAGGTGAAAGGGTCTATTATGAAACCCACTAGGGTAATTCCGACATACCGTGGTTATAATATCAAAACAATATACATAGTATTAATCTATTCTCACTCTAACACGCTTTGGCTCCATATTCTCACCTCTTCTTCTCCCTCACAACATTTTTTTTCTCTTATCTAATCTCTTGTTTGTTAGTCATAGTTTTGGTTATAGTTTAGTTCTGTTCCTTAATAGGGAAGGCACATCAGTCAATGAGGAACCACCATTTCTAGGAAGCTACTGCTTTATAAGTACCTATGAACTTTTTTTTAGGAAGCAATCAGACGTTTCTGTATGTCAATAGTTGATCAGTGGGGAAGGAGAATCCAACCAAATCTCTTAATTTAAAAAAAATAAATCTATTTAGGGGGAAGCAGCTTAAATATGTATAAATATATACATCTGTTTTACTCTATTCTGCAAACTTAATTTCCTATTTTATCATTCCAAGATGACTGTATTATGGTGAATGTAAACATTCAATTACTTGTGGAATGAGAATACTGGTGGTGTTATCACTACCTATCTAAACCTTTGTTGTTATTATTGTTATTCTGTTATTATTCTGCTATTGGGAAATGTCAATGCATAGGGTTTTGTGAGCCCGTTGCTTTGTCTGCAAACTTACAGAAAAAAACGAATTATAAAAAAGAAGAAAAAAAACAACAATATACATGGCTTATCCTCCTTCCAGTCCGGACTCATTGCTGACATTCCCTAGGGATATTTTTATGTTCACTTTTGCATAAAAATCCTTTGGGCACAACTAATGGAAGCAGAAGTAATAGTAAGAAACCAGAATAGTGCTTCAGATTTTAATACATTAGCCCTTTTCAATGTTACACACTGCTGGTGTATATCAACACACTGCCTTCACAGTGTTCTTTAATTTTTGAAACATACAGTTTCTCTGCTATCAGATAAAAAGAAACTAATCATCATGGAGTTGATCAAACTTCAATGAACAAGTGTTGAATGCTAGCAAAAGTGCTCATTATTTATTAAATGTATTTCACATTCATATTAAAGGAACACTGTAGTCTCAATAAAGTGATCTGGGAAAAAAGAGAGAAAAAAGTCACCAAGTAAGATTCTGCTGAAGAGCTGGCTAATGTCCTTGAATTGCGTATTGAATTTAGTTACTTTTGGGTTAGTTCAATAAAAAACAAATTAAAAATGCTAAGGGAACTAATATAATTGTCACAATGTAACTATTTATCTACTGCTAAATCTGTAAATGAATTGCCCCATTTCTAATGTGTTAGAAATCCAGGATAAATTTCAGTTCAATGTGGACTTCTGAAAATGAGCTCCATTTGAGCACATTATGAATATATCATATTTATCAAATATACATTAAATAAATGGATATGTGAACTTTTCTTTAACCTTATCAAGAGGAAAATCTTTGCATGCCCAAGGCCACCTCAATCCCTGGGTAAATTTGCAATTGTAAACAAACAAAAAAGTAAAAATGCACCTCTTACGGGGTAGATGATAATTAATTTGTCTCAGAGTTTTTAGAATCATAAGATATATCAAAACATCCTACATTTTATGCAGTCATTTGAAATACAGATAGCTAATTTTGCCATTTAGTGTAGGAGTAATCATTTGTCATCCTGCTGTCATTTTGGGAATGTGCATTGTAAAACATGCCAGCAGATTTTAGGCAAATACGTATTTAGGTTATTTGAACAGCTTTAATTACACTTTTGTCAGACCAATTATACATTACAAAATCAGTATTTGTAATAACCTTAGTATGGAAGAACCACAATAAGGTTATTAAATTAATATATGCAAGAGGTAAATTAATTTTGCAATTAATACTATTTTGTGCTAAATGTATATGCTAAATATGCAGCCCATGTTTTAAGTTAATAAATGTTAGGTTTAAAAAAAAAAAAAAAAGAAGCCTTAAAAGCCAAAGGGTCAGTTTGACTTTTAAACAGCTCCCACCGTTTACTGGGATGTTGTACACATCTTAAATGCCTCAAAAAATAAAGAATTAAAAAAATAAATAAAATAAAAGTCATCATTTGTGTAATGACAGGATTTCATTTATTTTTGTAAAATATCTTACAAAGAGCTGCAGAGTCTCTGGTAAATCTTCTGAACTTGGGTTTGCAAATTTGATCTCCAACCTCCTACCAAGGTTGATAAAATGAGCATCAAAGTTAAAGGTGACCATAACATTGATTGTTCAGGACATAAATAAAAATAAATGAAAGGAAAATGCATCATTCCTGAATAAATATTTTATTATTATTATTATTATTATGAATGAGTACATTACATAACTTAAATTTATATGACACATTGTGATACTGAAACCCTGAAGGAGAAAGGACTAATACATTAGCATTTTGTTTCCTCTTAGTATTATTGCTGGCCTTTATAAGTAGAACATTTGCATTTGAAAAAACAGTAATGTTTAATTCATGGCCATTCAAGCACTATTCTGTGATCAATACAATCCAGACAATGACTTTCACTATATACCTTCCCCAAATGCTGATGATATGTTACATCAAGAAACTTGAACTATTTAATTAAGCTGCTAATGTAAAAATATCTTGGACTTTATAAAATGTAATATTTGTTCATCACCTTTACACCAAAAGAAAATTGCACTACATCAACTGTCATTGTATTGAATCTTTCTACACAACAGAAATTGTCTGTCCATGCAAAGGTTTTATCTGTCTAATCCTACCCTAAACATTTGCTTTTTTGTTTTACGTGAGTGTTTACAGTATTAGCAATGTGCAATAATATAGGATTAAGTACTCTGCTATTAACTTGTTGGGGAACAAACTTATTTGTTTGTAATTAAAAAATCACGCAATAGTCTGATTCTAACATTTGACATATTTTAGTGATAAAATGTATTTTTTGACCAATTAAAAAAAAAAAGTTAAGTTATAATTTGGTTGCCAGTGGTATTTTTTCATGTTTATTTTGTTTTAGGAACGTAGAAAAAAAAAAGTAGTGAATGCAAATGTCTTCTAGATTCAGTAATAACAACTTTCCAAGTGCACTTAGTGTGTTAATGGAATGCTATGACAATTTATTCTTCTCTTTCATTGTTACTATGCTAATGTGGGGGACAGAAAAAAAGTACATAATGAACCTAGGACATCATGGAACGTACTAAAAGTCAGAATTTCTTTAAAAATAAATAACAGCTTGCTATTCATCATTTACCCTAGTGTACAGAAGAGCAAATATAATGCACTTAATTGTTTACAGAAAGACACAATTGTATTAGGATATACATTTAATTATACAATTAAAAAAATGGCCGGGAGACATTACCCAGCAATATAGCATACAAAAGTATTCAATAACATTCTTATTTTTCTTTCTTGAAAAAGCCATGGTAACATCTGCAAAAATTGAATATGGCTTGTGGACAATAAATATTCATTTTCGATGCATTGGAAAGAGATCGTAGATGTATGCTGGCAGACAAGGATGATGTGCTGAGAATGTTTCTACGTTCTATTGCTGGAGATAGGATCATGTTTACTGCAAAGATTTTATATTCAACTGCAATCAGTATAGAACTGTTTGCTAGCTCTCTTTACTTGTCTGTGTGTGTAGCTGTATGTGTTTATACAGAGTGCTCTCTTCAACTCTCCCATTACCTCCCCCACTCAGGCTAAAGAAACAAACCTCCAATCAGAAAGCCCAGATGCACAAATGCCCGAATCTTATTGGTTGCAAGCAAAAAGGCATTGGGAACAAAGAAAAAAATGTCCTGTCAGGTAGACTGTGTTTGATTCTCTCTTTATATCAGTTCTGCGTTCTCTCCAATGTATATGCAACCATTTAGCTTAGAATGAGAAATAGGAAGGAGCTAATGTTTAGAATTGTTTCTCTCAGAGCTGGTAAGTAGACAAGAAAATAAATGACAGCAAAATAGGTGTAAAAAAAGCCCTCGACTGCAACATAAACACTCAAAGCAATTAGAAGCAAAGGTCAACTTGATTCTATTCAGATGTAAGTATGGTTGTGTGCAGTGCTGTGGAAAGTGATTTATTAAAAGCTGTGAGTAATCTAAGAAAAAATGTTGTTTGATAGAGGCTCAGTTGTGAGAAAAAAAAGGTGAACTGTGTTAGTCTGACAAAAATATTCAGGATATTTTACACTTTAAGTGCTAGATCAGGATGGGGGTGCGGAGGGGTACCACCGACTGTGCTCAAATTATTTCTACAAGGAAACTTGACTGGGGGGGAGGTACCAAGTTGCCTGCAAAAAAAAAAAAAAGACTTAACACAATAATATAATGCTTTTATTTAGTATTATTTTATTTTCACTGAGATTCAATTCTTACCTATCCATCCTTGCTAAAAGCATCAATAATTTCTGTTGTATCTCCTTTGATATTAGAAGCTGCAATATGTACATAATTAATATAAATTTCTTTTAAAAGAAAGATTATCTGTTACTAATATGTCATTTCTTTGTTATTTGTTTGTTGTTGTTGTTATGGAGATTTGGTGACAGTGAATCTATTCTTTATGTCTAAAGAGGTTTTAAAATGGTTGATGGACGGAATATTTGGATTGAGTCCTATTGCATACGGAACACACACACACACCACCCCCTCTCTTCTCCTCTCTGAATGCAGAGCACGTTTCTTATTTTTTTTTTTTCTACTTAGACACAGATGTACAGCAGCAGAGAGAAATGTTTCACATTCATGAGTAATAGTTGTGGCAGAGAAGGCAAGGGGAATATAGCGAACCTAACAAGGTTTGCTTTTGTTAAAAGATGAAATGAATATTTCCTTGATATGCCAGTCACCCGTTTTTGTTCTCACGTCACTATAAGCATTTGAACGCTTGATCTTCACGTGATATAAAAGCCTGTGCTGCAACAAAATAGCTGACTTTATAGGGCTGGCTGTGCTAGCTCTGCTTCTTGCTCCCATCCCCCTCATTTTTTTTCCATTTCTAACAAACCACTCTAGACTTCCAATCCATCAACAATTCATTACAGCTTTTAAGCTGGGAATGCTAGCTAATTAAAAATACTAAACGTACACAAAGATTATTTGACAAAGACAAAAAAAAAACCCAGAGAAATTAAGAAGTGGTGACTGAGAAATAAAACACATATCTACTGTTACATATTTTTTTTCTTGCAACAATCTATTTGTCAATATGATTACTGTATTTTGTTGCATGTTTCACAGACACAGTTAAAAACCACAATGACTTGCTGAAACAGCACAAACAAATTACAGTGTGCAAAGGATAGAATTCACACCCCTCTGCAGACTGAGCATCACACTTAAAAATGTTTTGATAATAGGTTTATCAGATCACAGATCCATCACTGTCTCAGCCCGCCTCCCCCACCTCTTTTCTCTTCAAGTGTTGTTCAAGAAAGCAGATTTGTCAGGAAAACTGCTGGATGGGGGGAGGGTGTGGGAAATGCCACTTCCTGAATAAGCAGAGACTGAATCCAGACCAGAGTTTCAGTCCCTCTTTTTTTTCTCTCTCTCCTCTTTCTCTCACCCCCCTCTCGCCTCTCTCACACCCCCCTCTCCTCTTTCCTCTCCCTCTCCCTTTCACTAATTTATCCCGATGTTAGCACATTCTGTCTTGTTACAACCGGACGCCTGTAGGTTTGTTCATTGGGATCATTACTTAACTGATCAGGATGGCCCTGGAATATCTTTTTAAAGGAGAGACGTGATTGAAGTGGTGTCAAGAAAAATAATACAACTTTTTTTTTTCCTACAGATTTTTTTTTTTTATTGGATGGCATTATATTTTGGACATGGGTTGCTGGTTTAGATTGTGAAATAATTTCTCCTTGTCTGCAATGTGAATTCTAATCTGCATGTTTTAAACTACAAGAAGTGAATTACAGGCAGGAAAGAAGACAATTTTTCATGTTTTTTATTTTTCTATTTTTTTCAAGTGCTAACTGAGGAAATTGTGGATTACATGACTTACCCTGTAGTCGAGGTACAGTACATGACTTGTTTACTCCCTGAACATTTTTGGTGTTTAAAAATGAGGCATGGAGTTTGTACTGAGCTTGCAGGATTTTATCTTGATGTAAATATTAACTAAAATAACAACACAGGAGTGGGAAAAAGGTAAGAAACATGCCTGCATTTTTTTTTTTTTGTAATCTAACCTGGTGTTGTCTATTCTGTGTGTCCTGTAAAAAATCCTTTTAGCACATCTTTGTCAAACACTGGCTCATTTGCGGTGAATGAGGCCACCTCGGTGTAGAGCACTTAAAGTGTATGTCTTAATCAGTTTCCTGTGCAGTCAGTAATGTTGTATTTAACACAGCTTTCCTCTGCAGTCTGATCACAGTGAGCAATTGCTTTTTATTTCTCATACTAGGCAGATCATTTTATTTATATAAAGAATTACATATGAAAATTACATATGATTTAAATATATTATTATTATTATTATATATAAAGAATGAATTAACATTTTAATCATACTTGGCATTTTGATCATTTTTTTTTAGTTATCATTGCACATCACTATAAACATGAGGTTATATGAAACAATGAAACAACAGGAAATAATCACATTCAGTCTCTGTAGCATCTAAAAATAATTATCGCTTCCATCTCTGTGTTATTACGTTGTTGTAAAACCCATATAATTGTTTTTTCTCTTTCCCACAGGAGGTGTAATTGAATTAAATAAAATTGCATTTGGACAGTTTTTGGGATATACATCACACGAGAAAAAAAAGACAAGAGGAAACATTTTCTGGGAATACAGTGGTTTATGCTATTCTTTTTTGGATTTATTTTTTATTATTTCAGACTATAGGACAGCAACCCAACTGAGCTAAACGAATGTCCTCTTTTCTACATAAAGAAGTTCATTGGAATTTAATGCCACAAATCTCATCTTCAGGATGTCATTGAGTACGACTTCTATAGGGAAAGGTGTGGATCCTAACGCAGTTGATGTATATGACAGTGGGGATGACTGGGAAATTGGTGTTGGTAATTTAATCATTGATTTGGATGCTGATTTGGAAAAAGACAGACAGAAATTTGAAATGAGCAACTCTACAAACAGTGGTTGTGTTTCAAAGGACAGTGGACATGGCTTGTCATCTAGTGGACCTGTTAACTCTACCTCCTCTACCTTAGTGGACAGCCTCAAATTTGCTTCTATGCAGCAACAACCATCAACCCCCCAAGGGAATGGCCACAAAGAGACTAGCAAATCAAAAGTGAAAAGGAGCAAAACTTCTAAGGATTCTAATAAGCTATTGCCTTCTGCATCTTTGTATGGGATTCCAGAGATTAGCAGCAGTGCTGGCAAAAGGCAGCAGGAGGCAGGACGCTTTGGGGAGGTGGCATCCACAGTTAGCATGAGTGCAACACTGTGCCATGGTACCAATGGAGTTGGCCTTACTGGTAACCCATCTTGTGGGAAAAGCATCAAAGAGGAGAAAACAGGGGGCAAAAATCAGAGCACCAGGGGCTCAAAAAGGGATAAAGAGTCTGGAAAGTCAAGAAAGGACAACAGCAACAAGTTATATGACATTGGGCATCCTAACACTGGAGTAAACAGCCAAGCAGTCGTGCATTTGTATGGATTTGGAAGTGGCAAGGCCTCTGGGAATGTCAGCCCTTTTCACTGTGGCAATAGCTTGGCTGGAGAGTTAACAAAAAATGCACTTGATTCAGGGAATATGGTGAACACTGCACTGGCTAAAAAAGAAGAGGAGGATGAAGAAAGCCATAGGCGAAACAAGAAATTAAAGACTGAAAAGGTAAATAAATTCACTTATTAGCCTTGGCATACAAATATTTTATGTTGCTCATGCACCCATCTGGAATGCATATACTCTAAAAATATATTTCCAGTACATTTTGCCCTTTATTTCTTGGTTTGTGTTACAGTCCAATGTATGATTTTGTTCCCTGATAGAATCACCTCGAGGTATGTCCTATTCTTGCTTAAGGGAGTACAAGTATTTTAAACTTTAACCTCGCACCCTCCCACATCTTCCTGCAGGGTGAAGCTCAGTGTAAATGCGAGACACGTGTTTGCAAATACTCAATAAGAAAGATGTTGGCCTTTTTCCCAATCTTTTATTTATTGCACTGGGAAATACACATTCCATTATGCAATATTTCCCTACATAGGCTAAACTGGATGTCTACATTTACCGGTCACATTGTTTAAATATCAAGATTTAAAGCTTCATTTTTTTGTCCTTCAGCTATTTCTAACTGCTTTTTGTATTAGTTATCAGGGTAATTAGTGGTTTTGTTTCCTGAGACTATCTGGTGTTCATTCAAGCTACTGTACTACCCTCCCCCACACTCTACTGCATTTAGCAGCCAGATCTATTTGTACAACAAGCAAGAGTTTAAACTACCAGTGAGGACTGACATAGTTACAATAATCAGTGCTGTTTGGTCATAGGGTGGGGGAGGTGTTTTGTGTATCCTCTTCCACTGGAGCCATGTAGCAGATACTATTGCAGAGTGGAAAAAAATCATTTTCCTTTTTTTTTCTTTTTTTTTTGTTGTTGTTGTGTGTGATAGAGGATGTAACCAGAGAGCTATTTCAAATAATGCAAGGCAGCACTGTTTCAGGTTCTCCTTTGATTTGAACCAGTCTGTCTTGAACTGCCTGAATGCTAAGTAGCTTGAAAGCACATGAACAAATCAAATGTTAGGACTGGTTATAAAGAATGGCTATTCTTGCTGCTCATTGAAGCAGGTTATTTACTAGCAGTTATCCAGAGGGCGTAAGGTTTCTCTGGGGAACTAGTGCTTTTGTTGATTGATAATTAAGGGTCAAATGCATTCTACAGGCTGTGAACTCGTGTTTTTTTTTTCTGTTCCATGACATGAGAAATCTTGCATATGATATGTTTATATTATATTTAATTAATTATACACACACACATACATTCCATAACCAAAAATACATACATGTATTTCAATGTGATAAACATTTAATTTCAAATATTGTTTACAATATTTAAAAGATAGGTCTGTTAAAAACAAGTTATGTGTGCACAAGCATATAATGGATTTACCAGAGTGACAGGTCTGTGGTATATTTATTGGATCCCTTGAATCTTTAAGCATTTGTTTTAAAGAGGGGAGGTATTGGTACATATTATGTGCCCCTTTAATCATACTCTCTATTGACCTAGAAGCTCATGGATATGTTTTGCTTGGTCTGTTTGTAGATGACATAGATTGAATGTAATATTTAAAAATTGCCCTTTGCAATTCTTTTTACATTCTAACTCTATATCCATTTTTTTTATTTTTTTTTAGCAGTTTTCAATAGGTGTGTTTCTTAATCAACCTTAATTGTCCAGATAAATTGCACTAATCCAGTGATCATAATGGCCCTGGTTAAAGAGTCAGTTCTTTAAGATTGGATTCAGTGGCTTCCTGGAATGTGGGAGGTACTACCCTTTTGTATTCCCTTTTAGCCTTTTAATCTTTCAGCCAAATGTTCACATTGAACAATTTTGTTTAGCTAGCACTCTGTACATTTCAGTATCTCAAAGCCTGCTGTCATGGTAACAAAGATCATCATGCTGTGGTTTCTCAATGCTGCTATCATTTCTTCAGAGATAAAATATGTATGAGAATTTGTTCATTGTTGTAGCTTTATTAAGGTCATCGTAAATTCAATTGCCTAACACCTTTTAGTAGACCTCTCTAGTACTGAAAGGGTGCAGCGTTGCTTACCATAATAATGGTGCATTTACAATTTGCCTCAAGCAAATATTTCCCTTTTTCATTATCAAAGTAAGAAGCATAAAACTTCTTGATACCATATTATAGTTTTCCGAGTCCAAATCATACTTAAGAACCCAGTTAAGATGAATGAACTTAAAAATAAGACTTAAAACCACTGGTATTATTATTATTATTACAACTGTTGGAAAATACAATGAATAATATATCAGAGACAATGATCTAACTGTATTATTTAATCCCTGTAGGTAAACATGACTTGAGTGCTTGCCACATATAACACATGTAGAGAGGATGACAAAGTCTCTTTGGTTGTGTTGTTGTCAAGAAAGACTTTTAGCAATATATACTGCTTGCCTCTGGGGCTTAGTGTTTAGAGTAAGTCCCATAAAGCAGATAGAAATCCCATTAATAATCTATTCTTCAGTGCTAGATCTGAGAAGGAAAGGCATTTTTTTCCAAACATTGCGATTAAATGTACTGCTTCAAAACCCTACTTGATTCCTCATGTATGTCACAATTCATAAGCATTTTTATTTTTACATTTCAAAATTGGTGCACATGCTAGAATTTTTAGAGCCAGGCATATGATTAATTAATTAAATTGTAATGTAATCATGAGATGAACAAATTATATTTTTTATTCAAGTATTTTCTTTCTCTCAGTTAATGCATTTAGTACAGTGCTCTAGATAGTCTCTTTGAAGGTCAGTAAGATGAGATAGATGAGATAGATCCTTTAAGTTGGGCAATAATCACATTGAGACCAAGAATCTACTGACAAGCTAAATGTAACTTTCTTGTTAAATACTTTGTCTAGAAGTTTAGCAAGGAAATAATTAAAAGTTGGGTCAATTGTGGTGCAAAAATGATCATTTACAGAGTTGTGTTTACAAGATTTAGACACAGGAACCACAATTGATTTGTCTATGACTTGTTTTAATAGATTACTTTTAAGAAACTGGCTTTCCTCACATATTAAATGGAATTTCCTGTATGCAATTGGTATAAAACAAACACACAATTTATGTTTGCTTAAAAGTTCTATAACTTTATTACCAAGAACAATTCTCTACTATTTATACAACATGTGTACTTTGACCAACACTCATCAAAATAATTTATTTATTTTGAAGGACAGGAATTTGAACTACTTAAAGAAAGATATATCACATCACAGTGCTTCCTAATGACGCCTGAAGTGTTTTTCTTTTTGTTTTTTGTACTTTCAGTGGCATATTGGCCAGAACCCCAAAAACATTTTTATTTCTTAAATATTAAATGTAATGATTTTCTTTAAACACACTCTGTATACATTTTAAGAGCTATTCAATTAAGAACTGAACTAGTCTAGCAAGACTTACTAATTCATTAGTGGGCTTAATTGTCTCTTTAAAAAAAATCTTTAAAATAAGGTTTAGTTTATACAGAGTAAAGTAAAGGGCCGGAGAGGTCATTTGCTGTAATTGAAGGGCAAAGTATTGAAGCTTGACAGCAGCTAGTTCTTAAATTTACATAAGCGATTTAGCTGTTGAATGCACTGCTATATATGGGTGTCTAACAATAAGCCCAGCTCAAGGATCTTTTTTTTTTTTCAATGGCATGTTGTTGTAATTAGGTGGTGGAAGGCTACTGCAGCTAATCAAATTGTTAAACCTTTTAAAATATATTTATAAACATAAGTATATACACTAAATTAACTAAACACATTAACACATATAATTCATGGCTTGTTAAATGTAACCTCTCTGACTTAAGTACATGTTGTGCAGTTATTCCTTATACAAAATGTATTCTATTTATTATAGATTCATATTAGGTTCATACAGCGCAGCCCTTGCCCTCGCCAAACAGTCATACTTTTCCTCTCTCATTAGTTCATGCTCCCGCAAACCCAGACGTCTTTTTGACACCTTTAACTCTCTTCTTTGCCCTGCTGTGGTCACTCATCAAACTAACCTTACAGCCGAAAGCTTTACATGCTACTTTACCGACAAGATTGAACAGCTAAGGAAATAATTCTTCCCACCATGCCTTTCTCTTTCTCAACCACACATTGATCATGCCTTTCCTACCCTTTATACTTTCTCCCCGGCTACTGAACAAGAGGTGGCTGCGCTTCTCCTTTCCTCTCGCCCCACCATTTGCCCGCTTGATCCTGTCCCATCTCACCTTATCAGATCTCTCTCCTCTAGTCTTGTGCCTTCCTTAGCACATATATTCAACTGCTCTCTCTTCTGGCCTTGTCCTTGCTGACCTTAAATATGCCACTGTAGTACCTATCCTGAAAAAAAAAATCTCTCGACCCGTCCTTCCCCTCTAACTATCGTCCCATATACCTGCCCCCTTTTTCCTCAAAACTCCTGGAAAGACTTGTCTTTATCCATATGTCTCAATCCCAACTCTCTCCTTGACCCTCTCCAATCTGGTTTCTGCACCATCCACTCTACTGAGACTGCTCTTATCAAAGTTACTAACGACCTAATCCCAGCTAAATCCAAAGGCCACTACTCCATTCTAATTCTTCTTGACCTCTCTGTTGCCTTTGACACTGTTGATCATGGTCTACTTCTTCATACGCCTCAATCACTCCGTCTCTGTGACTCTGTCCTATCTTGGTTTTCCTCTTATCTCTCCCAACGCTCATTCAGTGTCTCCTTTTCTAATGATACCTCCTCCCTTCATCCTGCCTCGGTGGAGTCCCCCAAGGCTCTGTCCTTGGTCCCCTTTTGTTTTCTCTTTATACTGCCTCTCTTGGCAAACTTATTACTTCATTTGGATTCCACTACCACCAATATGCTGATGACACCCAGATATATCTTTCCTCCCCGGACCACTCCCCTGCTGTCCTGCAACGTGTCACTGCTTGCCTTTCTTCCATCTCTGACTGGATGTCCTCCAGCTTTCTGAAACTAAATATCTTAAAAACTGAGCTCCTTATCTTTCCTCCTCTTAATACTGATCCTCATCTTTCCTTCTCCCTTCAAGTTAGTGGTATCCACATCAGTCCATCCTTGCAAGTGCCTGTCTTGGTGTCCTGCTTGATTCTGGCCTCACCTTTGAGCCTCACATCCAGCATGTTACCACGTCCTGTAGATTCCATCTTAAAAACATAGCTCACAACCACCCCTTTCTTACTCAAGAAGCTACTACGGAGCTTGTCCATGCTCTAGTAATTTCTCGCATGGATTATTGTAACCCTCTCCTAATTGGTCTTCCCAAAAACCGTATTGCCCTGCTACAGTTTGTAATGAATGCTGCTGCCAAACTGATTTTCCTCTCTAGTCGGTCCTCTCACACCTCACCCATCTGTTAGTCCTTACATTGGCTTCCTGTATCATATAGGAGTCAATTCAAAGTGCTAACCCATACCTATAAAGCATTGACCAATTCTAGCCCCTCTTATATCTCTTCACAGATGCCCCTTCTCGATCTCTCTGCTCTGCCCCTTCTCCTGTTCACTGATCACACACGTACGGCCAACTCATGCTTGCAGGACTTCTAGCGGGCGGCTCCCTTCCTATGGAATAGTCTTCAATCATTTAAGAAGTACCTTAAAACCCATCTCTTTAGTAAAGCTTATGGCCTCCCAGAGTAACTTCTGCTTCATATACCTGTCTCTTGATCTCTCCTAAAGGGCAGCGCTCTCCTCTCTCCTCCAGCTCTGATTCACTCCCACCTTATTTCATTGCTATTTCTGGTCCTATTGTGTTTTATACCCCACCTCCTATAGACTGTAAACTCGTTTGCGCAGGGTCCACTTCAACCCAATGTTCCTGTAAGTTTTCTTGTAATTGAACTATTTATAGTTAAATCCCTCTTCTTATAATATTATAAAGTGCTACAGAATCTGTTGGCACTATATAAATGACAATAATAATAAAATAATAATATGTCCCTGACTATAATACTATTACTAAAGTAGTATATTGCCTGGGTTTTTATCACTTGTGGCCTTTAATGTATAAATAAATATATTCAACGTAGTGAATCACTAATGGGACATTTCAAATAAAAATTTAAATTTTCTGTTGTTTTTTTTCTTAAACAGTTTTATCAAGACAACCTTGATAAATAAATATTAAATAGTACAGTGTCTTGCCATACAACATCCACACCTCAAAATGGATTAAATTTTCAACAAAGGATTCAAATCATCATAATGTCTACTTCACTCTCATAATGCCACATGTGATCTTGAAATGTGACACACTGTCACTTTTAGATTTCAACTATTCTTTCTTCAGGATTTTATTACCAGTGTCCTGCTATTACGTAAACAGTATGGGGGAGGGGAAAGGGTAATGGCATATGTAAAAACACAGTGTTTTGGGTTTGTAATCGAGCAATTGGCAATATGCCTGATAAAAATTTAATGTTTGTGCACACTTTATGTTCCTACTCAGCAGACTTACATTTTAGTCACTCATCCATTACAACTGTGACCTGCCGGCATACAAGCTTTGAAAAGGAAACATCATCTGGCCTTTTGTTTGAGGTCTTTTATTGAGGCTAATGACTGGTCTTGTGCCACCCAGAGATAAATGACATTATCTCTGAGTGGTGTGACAGGCAGCAGACATGCTAATGGTAAAGCTACAGGGAAGGTTTTTCATACTTCTAAGGAAAGAGCAAAATAGATACATTTTTATGTGACCTATACCATGCCAGTTCCTATATATCTGTTTTATATACAGTATATTTTTTTCGATACTAACTTTCTGTTAAGAGTTTGGAAGTGTATATTTTTTGTAATAAACAGATTTGCTCTTGTTGTGATGTTTTTTTAGCAAGTTAAATTTGTGCCAACATTTATTCACAAGCAGGGTAATTTGTTACATTATTTTTTCAAGATTAGCATGTGTTACTTGGTGTTATCAAGATTTATCTCCTTGGACTTTGCGAAATAGATAAGGCCTTTATCACCTTAAAAAAATATTTACTGGTTTGTTTCAGAAACCCATTTTGCACTCCATAATATCAATAATAAGAACAATAAAAAAGTACAATTTACTGCTGAAAAAGGGTTGATTTCAGCAGTCTCACTCACAGGTTCAACTTTTACATATTTGTAGTAATATCTTACTCCATTTAGACTAACCACTGTTTACCACTAATTACCTTTTTTTACAGTGATTTTAAGTATTTTATGTTTTAGTCATTATATATTCTGGATATAAACCAAAAAAAAACAACCCACTGACACAGCATAGTGTTTGTTCACAAAAGACTATGCTTGCCGCCTTTTAGATTGTATACTTGTGTCTTCTTGACATGTAGTTAGTATTTTTATTGTTATTTATAAAGTGCTATCATATTCGGCAAACAAAGTAAATTTTATGTTAAACTGTCCCTTATTTGCTGATAGATTGAAGATGCAGAAAAATTGTGTAAGGATGGGTCCTGTTTTCTCCTCCTGGGATCCTATGCACATTTTTTAGAATAAGTTCCAGCAACACTAATTTACCCCGAGTTGACTTTGTTAGATGTTAAAAACTGTTTCCCACATCAGTATCACAATGTAAAATGAGAAGATTTATATAAAAAAAATCAAATTGTAATACTTATTTTGGGTGGTTTAATGAAACTTCAGAAAGAAAGAAAGAATCTTCAGATGGTAAATATATGTATGTATGTATGTATGTGTTATATGTGTGTGCATGCATGTATGCTTAAATACAGACAGTTTGTAATGCATTGTATTCTATTCAGACCTTATGGACTCTGAACTGTAATTCACTTACACCCTTCCCCCACTGTGAGAACCTGTGCTGTCTATTGTAGGGTGGCTGATCTATCTTGTTCATCTTAGTTTACCACCAGCAGGGTTGTGAATGTTCCTCTATTGTAAACTGTTTAGGGGCCAAAATTGTCTGATTGCATTTCAATTCACACATAGTAGTTCTGGTAATTGGAACAGTATGCTTTACGTTTCAATAAAGGGATGTAATTCTATTCAGATGTAAACACTCTCATGACAACTAGAAGTTAGTAGTATTGTGAGTTTTTGAACATTATTTTCTAATAAAAGGAAATATTACGTATAAAGTCTACAATACATATAATATAATTGTATGTATTTTCAGGAGAAGGTCTGTTAGGATTTTTTTTTATGCCTTTATTATTAATAAGCGTTTTACAACTATTTGATTAGATAAACAGGATCAAGAGGGTAGATTCCAACTCTTGGATGAGTAGTACTTTCACCATCTTCCACGTTCTACTAACATCAATTTTTAAAACAAATAACACATTTATTCCTTGCATTGTTGGAATTAGTTAATGGAATTTAGTCTGCCACATGTAGCAAAACTAAACCTGGTAAAAAAAAAAAGCTAGGGACAATTTATAAGTCCATGGTAGATGAAATTGATATTGATAATGTGGAAGTGTAATGTCTGCATTATCAAGTTTATGTGGCAGGGAGGATCACTTTATTTTTCAAACTTATATCAACTGGTTCGAGGAAAGAAATTAGATGAACCCTACAGCCTTTGGCGACATTACCACTATACTTTATCTTTTTTGGTTATGTTACTTAGACTGCCCATTTCATATTAAAGGCAAGTCATTTACATCACCCATCATAGGTAGATAACATGTAAAGCTAAGGATATTTTTGGGACCTTTTAGTAATAAATATTATATATTATGTATCAGCCCACAACGTGTTGACCTTTCATAATTCTGTTGAAGTGATTTTCTGAAAACATTGTTTGATCCATTAAAAGCTCCCCATCAAAGGGAGTCTATTTGAAAACTCAATAAATGAGTATACCTCGAAAGTGAATATTTAAAGGTTTTCCTTAAAATATGCTATGCATAATATCCAGGTTGGGTTAAATATATATATATATATTGCAAAAATGTCTTATAGTATACATAAAGAAAAATTATTTTGGTATTATAATTGTCTCTTACCCAAATATGCGACACTAATTACGTAAGGGCTTTGAGACAATTGATCTGAACCTTTGAAGGGTTAAACTGAGTGACTGCTGAGAATCAGAAATTCTTGCTCTCTGCAGTGACCTTTGAAAAAGCAAACATGAATATGCCTAAGGGTTAACTACGTAATATTCGATTTAGCAACCTGCAGGGTCATTTTACAAAGTATACAGCCAGACCAAATTATTTTTGGATTTCCTTTTACCTCCTTGGCTGCATATTTCTGGATGGCTCATGTTAAAAAGCAATAATGATGTTTGAATTGGAAGGGTTTGGCCTTTGGGTTTTCATTCTTCATACTGAACTGTTTGTTTGTGTGTGGTTCACCGCACTACATGGATAACGCTATCAAATCTGGGCTGTATTATAGGCTTATAACTGCAGAGCAGCAGCACGTTTCTTGTTGTGTGTTCTGCCTGGGAATCTTTTTTTTGCCAGTCCTATCTTAGATGTAAATAAATCGAAAAGTTAAAGCTATTACCGTTTTTGTGAAAGAGTAAAAAAGAAGCCATGAAGGGCTTTAAATAGATTATTCTACATTACAAAACAAGGATTTTTTATGCAGGCCCATCATTGAGTTGACTTTATGTAGGTTGGCTTCACGTAATGTGAGAAATTAGCCAACTCCATGATGTTAGTCTTTGTATGGACGGTTGTAGATATACAGAATAGTTTATTATTTATTAAGGGTAAGACTTAAATTTATATATATATGTATATGTGCGCTATTTTGGGTGGTTCACCGTCTTCAGATGTTAAATATTTATTTGTGTGTGTTGTATATATGTGGGCATGCATATATGTATTTATATATATACACACACACAAACTGTATTCATTGTATTCTGTCCAGATCTTATAATATATACATATTATATTGTAAATATGGTATACAACAGTAATATTCTGTGATTCTTCGTGTTTTACATTTTCATAATTTCTGTGTACAAAGTCAAGTTAACATTTCAGTCTATCTTTTCCTCCCTCCCCTTCCCTCAGCATCCAGAGTGTGTATATGCATGATAAGCTGGCAATATTGTCCAGTCACAGGCTTCTCTATGAAAATCCCCTGATTGGACCACAGTCACCCCAAGTGACGATGAAGGGGACACGGAAAAGCAGTAGTGGAAGCTTTGCCTGGCTTAAAAGTAAAACCTTTTTTACAGGTTTTACTGAGAATTGAGAGTGAATACCGTTCCCATGGTGTCCAGTAGGGCATCTTCCACTAGAAAGGTCCCCGCTTTATAGTAACCCTTTAAACCCTTTTGTTGTTATTAAGTGTTCTTGCATAGCAAGATCACTTAATGTTATCTCACATATATATTATTATTATTACTAGAAAAGCTACAATTTCTGGAGAAATTGTGTGAAGTGTTCTTGCCTCCACCAGTAGTCTACAACTGGAGTGGGCGGAGTAACTGTTATCATTTATATAGCACATTTAATTGCAACGTTGTTGCACAGTTACATTAAACCATACATTTATAAAAACATTAGCAGGTGTTCAAAAGGCCCTGTCTATGACATCACTTGCTGCTGCAGCCTTGACACAGGTCAGAGTATTTTGGCGGTTGCCATCTTCAAACGGTCGTATTTTAAAAACTATAAATCCTACAGCGAAGAGCTTTATATTGTGAGAATCACAAGACCCAGACCTACATTTTGATGCATATGTCTCTGAAGTATTAAAAATGAAGGCACAGTCGCAGTTTAGAAATTGCACTTCAAATTTGAGCTTTGTAGAGTGAAGTTTCAATGAATGTCAATGGACGGCGTTAGTTGCAAACAAATGATTATATTGTGAAAACTATCAGGACTATGGCTTAGCCGTTGACATGTTTAGTGGCAGCAGGGATAGCTGAACGTTTTGATATAAGATTTGTGTAGCTGGGCCTGAAAATAAGGGAGTGGTGGCAGTTTAGAAATCATGTCCTGATTTTTCAGCTTTTGCCAGCTCCCACTCCAGCTTTGCCATTCATTCCTATGGGACAAATTTCGCCACAAGAACGACAATATTCCGTGAACCATTCGGCGGAACGTTCCACAAAGTAATAACAATCCGATCGGGAACAATCTGCACGTTTTGGTAAATTTTTGTCTATGTAGTGTAAAAACTGTGGGAGGAGTTAGGGTGGCAAATTTGGCTATAATAAGAAAAAGAATAAGAATATATATGTGAGATAACATTAAGTGGTCTTGCTATGCAAGAACACTTAATAAAAATATATATGTGAGATAACATTAAGTGGTCTTGCTATGCAAGAACACTTAATAAGAATATATATGTGAGATAACATTAAGTGGCTTTGCTATGCAAGAACACTTAATTATTATTATAGCCAAATTTACCACCCTAACTCCTCCCACAGTTTTTACACTACATTGACAGTAATATACCGAAACGTGCGGATTGTTCCCGATTGGATTGCTATTACTTTGGGGAATGTTTTGCCGAATGGTTCATGGAATATCGTCGTTCTTGTGCTGAAATTGGTCCCATAGGAATGAATGGCAAAATGTTCAAAACTAGAGTGGAAGCTGGCAAAAGCTGAAAAATCAGAACATGATTTCTAAACTGCCACCACTCCCTCATTTTCAAGTCCACCTACACAAAGCTTATATCAAAACGTTCAGCTATCCCTGCCACTAAAAGTGTCCACGGCTAAGCCATAGTCCTGATAGTTTTCACGATATGACCATTTGTTTGCAACTCATGCCGTCCATTGACATTCATTGAAACTCCACTCTAGCCAGCTCAAACTTGAAGGGCAATTTCTAAACTGCGACTGTGCCTTCATTTTTAATACTTCGGAGACATACTATGCAAAATGTAGGTCTGGGTCTTGTGATTCTCACAATATAAAGCTCTTCGCTGTAAAATGTATAGTTTTTAAAATACGACCATTTGAAGATGGCAACCGCAAAAATACTCTGACCTGTGCCAGGCTGCAGCAGCAAGTGATGTCATAGACATGGCCTTTTGTACACACGCTAATGTTTTTATAAATGTATGTTTTAATGTAACTGTGAAGCACTTTGGTCAACAACGTTGCAATCAAATGTGCTATATAAATAAATAACAGTTACTCCGCCCACTCCAGTTGTAGACTACTGGTGGAGGCAAGAACACTTCACACAATTTCTCCAGAAATTGTAGCTTTTCTAGTTTTAACATTGTTTTCACACCCCTTTATCATCTCAAAAGGTTAATCTCTATAGGCTTAATTTGTTTTTCCATTTCTCATTAGTTTGTTCTGAGGCTTACACACAGTCTAGCACAGTATTGAATTGCTCTTCATTTAATTTAAACTGCAGGCCAAGTCCTCTCTTAGGTTCCCATCCCCCTTTCTCCATCAGTTAGAAGTCATTGTTTCCTAGCTGTATGCTGTTATTACTCAGATGTGACTGACAGAGCTGCATGGAGTACAGTGAAGCATATTCATTTTCATCTAGTACCCGTTTATTGCCTTGAGCACTGTAAATCTGTCAGCTCTTCACCATACTTTCACCTCTTTCTTCATTTACTCAAGCTCCTAGTTTGACAACATTTCCCCGAGGCAGAATCCTAATCTGCTTCCAATTAGTTGCAAAATGTGACTGAAATTTCCACATGATAACCGCTGTTTTACTTGCACGCACCTATCTAGAAATACAAATTAAAATGTTGGAATATTTATTTTTTAGGGAGCCCTCAGATTAATTTTCCATGAAAAATTCTCAGCTGCTTTCAAGTGACTTCCATAGCTTCCATCTCTGATTTCTGCTCAACTCTTAGATGTTGAAAAGATTTAAAATGCTTTTGAACCGACAAAGCTTTCCGATCACTCAGTTGATTAAGCTGTATCATCCATGCATAATTCGAGTACAAATCATTGTGCCGCATGTCTTGATCAAAGGGCTTTACGTAATAAAAACAGTGATAATTTTGATTTATTGCCTAGATACTATATCCATGTAGATATTATAGCTAGGTACATTACTGAACATAGTTCAGCAAGTTAGTGTTTCATATATCTGACCATTCAAAGGGTTTGACTGATTCGTAGTTTGAGTTTCAGCTTAATTTAATTTCCTTTTACATAAGGCATTACTATATGTGTTTTATAAATGTCATATTTTAAAGTGTTAATGTCAAAAAAGTATTTTGTATTTATGTTGTGCACATGTAAGTGTTTGGTGGAAATTTCTATTTGCTAAGATACTATCAAATAACTGTATTAATATCTAAGTATATGAACATATGTTCTAAATTATTTTTAAAAATCACGTCTCCTTCCTAGACCTTTTCTCTTTTTTACTTTTCACCAAATCCTAGATTAACTTAGTACTCATAAACTATAAGACAAAAAGGTTTCTGAATGAAGAACGTTTATAGAGGAAAATTGTAAACATGGTGCAATCGATGGAAACCAACTGAAAAATAATTTTGGAACTTTTATTAACTAGAATACTGTAAAGCTTGACTGTTCAGTGTTAGATATTATGTATGTTTTATTAAATCCACTTTAGGCATCAAAGAAAATGACAAAATATTGACCTTGTGTTTTTATTGGCAAGCTATACAAAAATACATGCCTTAATATTTATTCATAAGTGTCTGGGGTATAGTAGAAAACCTATACACGTTCTATATTTATTAAAACCAAAGCCATCAAGGTCACCAAAGCTTTTGAATTTACAGTCCATTATGAATTGATACAGATTGTATTATTCATATCCTAAAATATGTACTGATACTAGATGCGGGTGGCCAGTTATTATACAATGATATAATCCACATGGAAATTGGAAAATTCTGGAAAATGGTTACATACTAGTATAGGCTGAATATAACTCTCTATATACAAACTAGTGATGTGTAATGATGGACAGTGTAGAAGAAGTAACTATAATAAATATGTGTAGAAGAAGTAACAGGATTGGTTAGACCAACTTCGTTTCTGGATTCCATGATTTTATTACTACCTGAAAATTGTTTATAAAATTATACATTTAGTATGCCAGTGCTCATATGTTCATTTAATATAATTTAAAATTTATATCATTCAATTAATATATATATATATATATACACACACACACACACACACACACACACACGTGTGTGTGTAATTTATAGTGCCTTGTCCAGTTGCTAGCATGCATATCTATTCACATAAACAAACAAGTAGTCACTCTTTATGGCTAAGCACCTGTTCACGCTTTAAAAAAAACAAACAGATTTTACTGATTCCATGTGTAGCTCCCATCAGGGGGTTATGAGTACTGTGAATGTGTCCTGAAAATGAGGCTGTCTGTAAAAGGCTTCTCAGCATAAGCTAAGTGTGGGGGAGGGTAGAACAAACAAAAGCAGCAGAAAAACTCAATGAAACACTAGTTCACTGATCTGGCATGAGAAACCTTTTTAAGGGTTGTGTGCTTATGTTTTTTATTTTTTATATTTTACTATAAGCCAGTACAAAAAGAGATAGATTACAATCCAGTATAGTAACACTACATTTTAGAGTGTTTCTACCATATTGTGGTTTTATTCAACTACTATAGTTACTGGTTTACTCCTATTGTAAATCAACCTCCAGCTTTATATCTGAACCAATTATACCAACCGTTCAGACTACTGTTGGTATAACGTCCTTTGTTAGTGTCTATACACATAATAGGGGAACTGCACCAGGTTAATGTTTGACTTGCATACAGCAAGTATAAAATTAGGACATATGTTGAATACAATCCAGCCCATCTGACGTCTAGCACAGTTTCTATACTGATTAACAATTGGTTACCAAAACATGCAGGTCGGTATGGGAAGTGTGTTTTTGTGGTGTGTGTAAGTCTCAATTAATTTTTGTTTAATCATTGTTCAAGCTGTTATCTGTCACTCATTATGTAAAATAAAGTTCTCCTTTTTTTTTTGGGGGGGGGGCAGGGGGAGGAGGAGAGAATACATCTGCAGATTGGAGAGTGTTAATAAGCATCACTGTCCCTTCTGTGCCCTGAAAAATGAATGGCATGTTAAGCTTCTGGAGCCAAAATACAGTCTGAGAAAAATATTCATTGCTCTATTTTTTAACTGAGGTGCAAAGCACTTGCTAAATTTGTAAGTGTAAATCTGTGGTGAAGCTTAACAGTCTTAGGCTTACCTGACTGATGTTAACATTAACAGCACACACGCAGATATGTATTGCAGCAAATGGATTAGTTACGGATTACTTGTAGACTGGAGACCCATGAAAGAATATGTGTAGGAGCAGTGATATGCTGCATTGCAACATTTTTAAAGAAGCATTTGTTGCCATTAAATGTTTCATTTCTTTAATATTTGAAGCACCCAAGTAACAATTCTTAATGTATAGAGATCATTGGAAGTATATACTGACCTGTCCCATTTGTGATGGCGAATTCTAGTGTTAGTATTGTTTATCTTGTGTTCTTGTTATATGTTACACATGTCTAAGGCATGTATTGAAAAGTGAATCTAAATGTAATAGCATAGTCAGACATAAAAAATAAATAGCCTCTAATTTTTAAACTATCTCTGTCTAATTATAAATACCTGCTACGTATAAAGTAGAGAATAACACTTTTTTTTGCGGCAGAGAGTTTTGGAATTCAGGGTCAGACATTGCCAGAGGCTTGTTTTTGCTTAAGCATGAATATTATTTTCATACCTATTCATGTAGGTTTGACTCATCATTTATTAAATCTTTCCAATACCATCCCTTTCTAAAAAAAATAAAAAAAATAAAAATCCAGATGTCCCTTTTTGGTTGCAGAAATCAGTCAGGGATAATTGCAAAAGTGGGAATTTAAAATGTTTGGATATAATACCCAAACAAAACAAACTGACTGATTTGGAAGGGTTTGCTTTAAATTTCACTTGTATTAACAGCAATTCTTACTTGCTTATTCATTTACTACTTCTGAACGTTGTTTATTATTGAGCATGTTGTTCATAAGTATGCAACATAACTCCATATACTATAGTATTTAGAAATAGATTAAATAGATTAAATATTTGAATTGCATTATATTTAGGTAGATAACTTTATTTGAATTTTTAAACAAACACAAAATTTGTATGAAAACACAGTGTGTTAATTTACTTTTCAATGTACATTTATTTCCCACAAGCTAATAATAGAAACATTATATCTTGGTTCAATGTATAAGGGAAGAGGTATCACAAATTCTATTGCATTTTTATATTTGTCTTTTTGCCCCTTTTGGCATTCAAATGGAAATTGCTTCCTGACTGATGTATCCTCACTTCGAAGGTATAATTTCTTTATTCCATTCAAAAATAACCAAGAGACTTTTACAGTTCAAGCAGAATATGTCTCTTATGCAATTTGCAGTAATTGACTGAGTGACTCCAAGTACTTTAACAGAGTAAAAGCACATTTTTCCCCATTATTATTCTGCAGGCAAAAGCCACTGTGCTTCTGAGAAGCATTAAATGCTTTTGTTGACAGCTTACAGTTTTATAAACTCTAAATGAGCTTATTGCCTTTTAACCATCATGAGTACTAAATAATAGAAAAAGCTATGAGCCTCTAGATTGGATGATGGCCAAACACCTACAACAAGAAGAGGGGGTGGGAGTGAGAAAGAGAAAAAATGGAATAGTTTAATTGTAGAGCAAATCATTTGTTTACAGATTAAGATGTAGTTGGTAGCCAACTGTTATGGACAAAGAGGTGAAAGAACAACCCTCTAACTTACAGGAAATGGTTGTCTGGCTTTAGATGTGGTCCCTGTTGTGATATTGCTCCTTCCTTGCACAAGGCTGGCTGGAGTGGTGAATTGTAAGAGCCTTATTTCTAAGCTTTATGTGTCCCTTAAAAATCACAAAAGGTCTTGGGGGAGGGTAGCAAGCTGGTTTGTTTATGCTGTTAGACTGAAACCAGATAAGCTTAAGTTACTCGCAGCAATAGTACACCAGTTATTTGGAAAATGACTTCTTTTGTTCAACTGTCCGAATTAAGACAAAAAAAAAAGGTGAGAGATGAATGCTTGTGAATGTGAACACACACAATGCAATCTCTAAATAGGTCTTTTTCATATATATGTGTCTGAAGAGAGTTAAGAGAGCTGAGAGATGTCCTTAAAACATACTGTCTGACTATTAGGTGCTTTTTTTAAATATCTTGGACCACATTTTTACTAAGTGTGTGTCTGTTTTCACAGCTCTTGGTTGTTGAAAAAAATCCGATTTCTACGTTTAAGTTTGCCTATGAATATTTATTTATTTATTTATAAAATATTTTACCAGGAAAGATACATTGAGATTTCTCTCGTTTTCAAGTATGTCCTGGGTCCACAAATCATTGCATTGTTACATTAGGTACAACAAAATACAAAAATAATATTAATACACAATATATACAAAATTTAACACAGAACAGGCAGGAAATATATAATCAACCATGACACGTGCATTCTGTTTTGAGGTATGAGGGATCTCTTAAATGACTTTAGGCTTAGGGAAGATTTTAAATTGTGCGGGAGGTCGTTCCACAATTGCGGTGCTCTATAGGAGAAGGGGGATCGGGCCGCTTTCTTTTTGTATTGAGGTAGACTAAGCCATATATATAGAGAGAGATATGGCTCACCTAAAAGTTGATTCAGACACACATCTTGCTTTAGGTATGAATGGGCAGGGATTATGTGCATCTTTTAATGTTTACAGACTATTTTTGTGTTTATATGGAAAATTCTTGTAAAACTTGAGAACATGAGAGTTTCTAGCTGTATTTTTACAAGGAACATTACACTTTTTTCTGGCTTGAGGAATTTTAAGTTCATGCTACGTGAAGGCTTCTGTCAAAAATATTATTATTATTATAATTACTGATATTTATATAGCGCCAGCATATTCCATAGCACTTTACAATATTATCACAGGGGGAAATTTAACAATAAATGAGACAATTACAGTATGTATATCAGTAAAAAAGTAATACTGGCAATTCTTTGCATTCTCTTTTTGTAGTTAGAGCATTTCTGGCCAATACACAGTGTGTGTCTTGTTATTCTATAGTAAATATACAAAACTGGAAGAACTTTGTATCTGTACTGGGCAAATGTTATCTTGAAGTGTTGCATGGTCAATGCACTGCTGATTAATATTCACTTCATAAATAGAAATTATATTCCCCACCCCCCCCTAATTTTAATATACAATCAGAGGTTGACAAACATTAAAATTTTTTATAGTGACTGTACTTGGTGTTTCAGTTGCCCTGATAAAGGTGCATTGGTTTACTGTGTTTTCTTTTTTTTTTTGTCATTGAAGACATTTGGTAGTAAACATATTCAGTATTCATGTGCTGATCCCACCCATCATGAGTGTGTGTGTTAATGTGTGTATGTATGTGTATGTGTGTGTATATATATATATATATATATATATATATATATATATATAGTAGACAATCAACAAGGAAGGCTGCTCTCCGGATTTAAAACAAGAAAATTTATTCAAACATATTTAAAAAAACTACGACCAACGTTTCGGTCCCCGCTCGGGACCTTCCTCAGGGTCAAAAAACAGAACAACAGAACTGACTTCCTTGTTGATTGTCTACTACATGCCTTGGAGCTCTGGTGGTGCGCCCGGTCTTGGACCTTATTGTAAGCGTGAGTGCAGGGGATATTTGGATTTTTATATATATATATATATATATATATATATATATATATTATTAATGTTATTTTTTTATCTGATCAATATTTTTTTTCTTTAGACCATTCCATATTAAATGCATGGTTCAATACCTTTGGCACCTGTCCTGTTTCCAATCCAAATGCTTTGGTTGAATTGAGATTCTTGAATCTCTGTATACTAAATGAAAAATAAGATATGCTATTCTTCTCCACTGAGTCTGACTCCTATAATTTAAAAAAAGCCATAGTGCTATTCTTCTCCACTGACTCCTATGATTTTAAGAGGTCATAGTACTCTGTAGTGGTGAAGCTTATACGAAATAAAAGCCATGCTAAAATCACTGTGTAAAACATTAAAAATGGTATTCATTTTTGGAATATCAGTAGATGTTGAAACAGTATGGTAGTAACATTTTTACAAAGAAAGAATGGGTCACTAAGCTGATATTATATATAAAAAAATAACCACTATCTATACAAACATATACTGTTTTGACATGTACTGTGTATGTAGTGTGTTTTATTTCATCAAATTTAAAATTTCTACTTTCCATCATTTTACATACTCCCTCTCTTAGATAGGAAACCTGTGTTGGGGAAAAATTGAAAACTGTTGATTAAAGGGGTGCTTGAAGCACCACAACCACTGCAGCTTATTAATCAAGCCTGTTTAATTCTGTGTATTTACTGTTAGTTTTATTGTTCATTTGTGATATATTTAACAGCATGAGTAAATAAGAAACAGAGAGATTAATGGAAAAGCAAAATGTATATGTAACTAGATTAAAAAGGTCACATCTTCAAGAAGGGGGCATCTGCTGCTTCAGCTGGCTGTCCTTATTTCTGTTATTCGAGATGCATCATAAGTTTTAAAAAAAAAATATGTAAAAAGATATGTAATGATTTTTGTACCACTTAATCTGATGGTACTACCAGAATTTAAAAGTCTTTTATTTATAGCTTTGCCACTGAATAAGAGACATGGAGTCACCCAGTCATGCATATAGACCTTAGGTATAAATAGTTTATTAAGTCTGAGAAATAGAATGGCAATTAGCTTTTAAAGCCTCTGAATCTTTCATAGTATGTTGTTTAAAACTGATACTCCAATGTCCTTATATGTTGCACTGAAGTATAAATGAAATCAATTCCTCACAGTCTAAATTTATTCCCCTCTATAATTATATGTGCATACTAAACATATTTTTATGGCACAGTATTTTCACAAATGTGGTGTAAATATTGAAATGTTAAATTTGATCAAATTTAAAATTGTCCATCTCTTAAAATACATTGAATAATATTGCCCCATCAAGATTCTTAAACATAAACCATAATTAGCTTTTCCACTATTAAACTATGATTTGTTTTGTTTTACATATTTCATGGATTTATGTATACAAGGACAGATTAGCAGATTAGCAGACAGATTCAAAATATGCAATTCTGCAAGGAGTCATCTCAGTCATGACGAGCACTATTTACAATTAATAATTCAAACAAAGCAAAGCACTCATTTAGTGAAGATCATAAGATCTGGAGTAATGTTCTTAGGTGCCTTCCAATCTCACATTGTAAAGTAAAAGGCTGAGCTCCATTATTATTTTGAGAATCCACAAAATACTAGAAACGAAGGAGCCACTAAACAGGCACTATAATTTTAGGAATACAAACCTGCTAGATTGCAATTAGCTTTATATAAGTCCCACCTTTCCCGTTCGATAAATTAAAGTTTCATGAATTTTTTTCAAATGCCAAGGCTCCCTTGGTGCTCACCTCTCCTCCTTCTGTGCTGTTACAGAGGAGGTAAGGCCTCCTCCACAATGGTCCAATCCAATTGTCCTCAAAGAAAGCAAACAAAAGCATTTTTGACTTATTTTTCTTGCAAGCTTCAGTCACCTTTCAAGTTTGTCTGGCCAATCAAACACCTTTTCCTCTTGAATATCAAAACAACATTAGGATAATACTCTGGAGCCTTAGGAGGCAAGAATTCATTTCTTTTTCATGTCATATTAAATGAACCATACTTAAAAAAGGCTTTTGTTGCAGCTGCAACATTGCTGTAGTCCAGTACAAACCGTCTGTTTAGTCCAATATGAAAGAAGTCTATATAAATCCAACAAAGGTTCTATTTTCCTTCTATTCAGATGATATAGAGTAATTCAAATATGACAAGAAAAAGAAAGTAATTCTTGACTCCTAAGGCTCCAGAAATATAATAGCAATGCTAATGTTTTGCTATGCTAGAGGAACAGGTGTTTGATTATTTAAACAAACTTGGAAGGTGACTGAGGCTTGAAAGATAAATAAGGCTACAGTTTCTCATTTTGATACACTTCTGCTAACAGGAATATCCTCTCATGGGACACACATCCACAGTTTGAGAAATGAAAGTACTATTAGTAAGTGACTTAATGTGAGCTTCTAGACTAAGCATTGCTTCCCAGAGGGCATGGTGGTTTTCTTTATATATTCCTGGGAATACTGTGCTTCTGTTAATTAATCTCATGGCTTGTTGACAACAATCAAGAAATGTACATTGTCACAGGCCATATAGGATAATGATTTTTTTGAGAGCTACTCTAACAAGTCCTTATCTATTTTTTAAATGTATATAATTTAATGTATGTGACATAATATTACACTTATTACATGGTCTATGTATGTATGTATGTAACACACACACACACACTCACACACTCTCTCTCAAAAGCTTGGCATCTTTCATGTATACATATAGTTATATACACACAGAGACACATGCATATTATTATTTTCTTTATCTAAAAATGTTTTGTAAAGTATATATAAAGTATATATAAAAATCTTAAATAATTTAAATAATTTAAATAATACATATTAATTTCTCTCCACAAAACATGTTTTATTAACATTTTATTATCCTGAGTAAAGGTTACATACCATTCGTAGGTGGTGTTTTCTCAAGCCAATAAAATACAATGGTAACATCATAGTACTGTAGTGACTTTGACCTACATATTCCATTGTGTTTATCTAGTTAGCGTGTTGTCTACATATATAGAATGCAAATTCACAGCTATTCTGACGTTGCCTGGCATCTAAAGCAAATAACAAATGTGGCATGATTCCCTAAACATGCCCAAAATTGCTGATTCAGGCAGGGCATGATGGGAAAAATGGCAATGCCAATCTCTCTGAAGTGTAGCAAAAGGACATTTTCTACTTTCTATGCACAAAAATAAAGGAAAATAAAGTAAATTCTTCAACTGCATTCTCCTGGACTTAAATACTAATGAAATTGTCACCAAAATTTGAAAGAATGGTTTTAATGTAGGCACACTATAGTTGCTCATAATAAACTTTTAGCTTCAGCTAACAATAATACATTATAGAAAAAAAGAGACGAAAAATGGGGCAGACAGTCCACTCACAAAAAAGTGGGTGGAATGCCTAGCCTCATTCAAAGTACCTCATAATGTAAATAGTCACATAGAAGAGGATAAACAACCTTTATTAGAAAAAAATGCTAAAATGGTATATAGTCCAAATACTATTACCATACACTAAAATAGTGTATTGATTATAAGTTAACCACCAAACTTATAAAAGCCTGGGAGAGGCTAATCCTGCAAGGTATGTTTGACTTAATAAAGGTGTAAAAATACACCTAAAATAATAAATGGGTAACAAAGCAGGTTAGTCTAAATCCATTCTAGGAAAGGACCCAACTGGGTAATTGGATAGAAAAAGGATAGTCTTAGAGCAGTGTCTGAGAGAATCTGGAAAGGGCAGGGTTAATAGCAACTAATGGGGCGCGCCCAAACTAATATCGAGTAGCTTATACTAAAGAGAAAAGGAGCTAATACCCCATAAAGAGAGGAAAGATAGAACCCCCCCCCCTTGAGTCACCCTAAAAAAACTAACTATCCTAAGAGAAAAAGCAAAACTAACTGCTGCTTCGTGGCAGCCTATCCAAATCCCTAAGTCTGTATCAGGAGAAAATATAGGCGCAAACTCATGCGCTGTGGAAACCCAGGTAAATGAAAGATGAGAATAAAGAAAATCAATTGAGTATAATAGCATCGGCTAAGTTAACCACCAAACTTATAAAAGCCTGGGAGAGGCTAATCCTGCAAGGTATGTTTGACTTAATAAAGGTGTAAAAATATACCTAAAATAGTAAATGGGTAACAAAGCAGGTTAGTCTAAATCCATTCTAGGAAAGGACCCAGCTGGGTAATTGGATAGAAAAAGGATAGTCTTAGAGCAGTGTCTGAGAGAATCTGGAAAGGGCAGGGTTAATAGCAACTAATGGGGTGCACCCAAACTAATATCAAGTAGCTTATATTAAACAGAAAAGGAGCTAATACCCCACAAAGAGAGGAAAGATAGAACCCCCCCCCCCCCTCTGAGTCACCCTAAAAAACTAACTATCCTAAAAGAAACGGCAAAACTAACTGCTGCTTTGTGGCAGCCTATCCAAATCCCTAAGTCTGTATCAGGAGAAAATATAGGTGCAAACACATGCGCTGTGGAAACCCAGGTAAATGAAAGATGAGAGTAAAGAAAATCAATTGAGTATAATAGCATCGGTTAGAAAATATCTCGACGCGCGTTTCGGCGTTTTAGATACGCCTTTGTCAAGAGCTACCTGGTAAGTGACACGGGAAGCAGTTATAAAGGGGATATAGACACACCCTTCAATTTAAGCCCTCCAATCAAAAGACCACAGGTTGTAAAAGAGTGACAGGTGACCTCCCCTGCATATTGAACCAATCGGAGGAGGTGGGAGTGGTCACCCTATTCACTCAGTATACACTAATGGCAAAAAAAACAAAAACAAAAAAAAAACCTCTAAATAAAGAGTAGATACATGTTGCAATTAAGGCTCAAAGCTAAAGTAAGTATGTTTTTAACAAAAAGGTAACAAAACATCAAAGCAGATTAGCACAGTAACAACATTCATCCATTTTTTCTATATATATTGTGGGATTACGCCCCTTGTACCTCTGTAACCTTTTTGTGGGGTAGTGGTGGTGGTTTCCCCACCCCATAGCCCCTCTCTCTTTCTTCTAATAATACATTATTTATTTATCTATCTATAATTTATTGCAAAATTATATTTTTAAGTTTTGTCTCATTGCAACCATGTTTATTCTCTATAAGATAATTCTAATTCTGGACATCAGGAGCATGCTTGATATTCCTCAATTTCCAAACATTTTCTGTAAGAGAAAGTAAGCTATTATCAGTACTCCCCACTGTATCTATGCTCTATAAGTAGGTTGCAACAGAAGATATTTTCCTCGAATGGCTATTTCACCCACCATTGTGCAGGTCAGTTGTAAAACTGGTTTACGATGTAATTAACGTTGACCTTATTCTTCAGTTGTAATGCAGTGATTGTGAATATAGTTGAGTTGCAAGTTTCAGTAACCAGATCTGCAAACTCTAATGACTTTTCAAAAAGATAAAATCCTTCTTTTTGTTGTTAAATACATTTTCTGGCAATTTTTTTTGCTAAAGACTCACAGAAATTGGCCTCTAATGCACTAAAACCTGTTGTAGACATCACAAAGGATTCCTTTGTTTTAGTGCTTGATTTAATCTGAAAAGCCTTGCCGTTGCCCATCCCCCGCTAATATTCTTTATTGTGCAAGCTTGTAAAACTGAGGATTGGCCACTAATCTTCAAGATCTAGAGGACTTTTGGCTTCGGTCCATAATTGATGTCTTGACATAGCCCTTGCCTGCCTACTAATAATGAGATAGAAGTGTTATCCTGCAGTGAAATCACTGTCGCCTATGAATCAAACTTGATAAACTGCAGCATCATGTCCTCAAAGGTTTTCATGCATGTGTACATATTTTGATTACGAACAAACACAGAGAACACAATCACACACAAATGCAAGCCAAGGCATTTCATTATTTTGTCATCTTCAGTAAGCTTATATTTAATTATTTCTGGAAGTTATATGATTTGATCTGTATTTTCCCCTTATAGCAAATATGGGCATAAAGTGATTTGCATATCCTTTGATAATGGTGTGGTTGGAAATAGCTTGTTCTGACTACATTTAAAAGTATAATTTGCTCTTTATATAGTTTTATTTAAACTTTTCCTTCATAAGTCTTTTACTGATATTCTATTTTTGTTACCATAACTCTAACATATTTTTGTGTCTATGTGCAGATTGAACATTAACATAAAAAAAAAACCAACAGTTGTTAACCAGATTTAAAAAGAATGATTTTAAACTTTAAAGATAGATTATATATCGGATCTTTCATTTTTTTATGTCCTAAATACAGTTAATTATTAAATATTGGAAAGGGTTTGGTGTGCATACATGTATGTATATATTGTCAACGACACTACTTTTGCATTGTTACTTTTTTTGTGTGAGTGTGTGTTTGTGCTTGTTATGTCATTATTTTTATATATATATTATACTATATATTTTTACTTTTCCAGATAATTAATATTGTATGTTTTTAATACCAAGCACCATTCTCCTGTTCAGTACAATTATAATGCCCAAGCACATCTACTCATTAATATTATTAATTAAATAATAAATTAGGTATTCTTGCCATAGTTGACTAATCACTGCTTGTCTAGTTCTGACCTACACACAAACTCTGAAAAGCAAACATTCCTTGATGTCTACATCAGATGTGGGTAGTTGTTGTAGCTAACTAATTTGTTTGCATGAACACAATGTGCTTTGTTGTAGTTGTTTGTTTGTTTGTTTGTTTTTAAATGCCACAACTACATCTGAATTAGATAAATATTTTAACCCCTTAAGGACCAAACTTCTGTAATAAAAGGAAATCATGACGTCACAAATGTCATGTGTCCTTAAGGGGTTAAATAGCATATGCAATTGTTGATAGTTTTGTGGGTTAGTTCGGATTGGCAAAATTATGAAAATCTCTTAAGTCTAAAGAAGCTCTACCAACTTCAAACAAAATAATGTTTGTAATACTGTAATGTTTTCTTCATGTTTTTCCTTTTTTCTCACTCTGTATCTGTGGTTTTATTTCAGCCTATTTAACTGCATGTCACTGCCTTACGGGCAAATAAAGAATTTTATAGCATGAGTTTTTCTTTGTTTCCAATGTCTTTTTATGGGTTTGAAAAAAATACATTGCTTACATTTCCAACCATGTGTCGCAGGTGTTAACCAATTTTATTTATTTTGATATAGTGTTGCAGTATTTAAAGAACATGAGTTATTAATATTATTATTTTTTTTCTTTTTATATATTTTCTTTAGCATTTTGATTACATTTTTTTTATTTTTTTTGCTTTTGTTTAACAAAAAAGGCATTGAAGCAAGAACATTAGCAGTGTGATATATTTACATAATACATTCAGTGGTGAGCTTATCAGTATCTCGAGATAAACAAATAATGATACAATCACAGTTAAACTGTTTTCTGTATGGTTGACTGAAATCTATCTAAAAGATAATCTTGCTTGTGGAAAATTAAATGACCTAGTTGGGCATTGCTTAGAAAGATGCCTGTCTTGTGCTTTTGATTTTATACATTTACAATTATATTAGCAATACATGTACGTCTCCAAAACTACACATGTTATAAGTATGACTTCTATCCTTATTCAACTTGGAATATCTTATAAGGAATTTCAGTAAGACTTCCGTATTTTTTGATATTGAATTTTTTGTGTTTTAGTCCAGCATTATCTGAAGCATGATATATATATATATATATATATATATATATATATATGATATATATATATATATATATATATATATATTGTTACTTTGACAATAGAAATAAATCACCCTGTTTTTTTTATTGTTTTCAGACTGACCCCCTGTTTACAGTGCCTGCACCTCCACCACCTGTTTGCAGCAGTGTCTCTCCGCAGATCCTGCCACCCTACTTTTCTCCATCATCATCAACTATTGCTGCACCAGTGGAACAACTTTTGGTACGAACCCGGTCAGTGGGTGTAAACACTTGCGATGTTGGAGTAGTAACGGAACCAGAATGTCTTGGACCTTGTGAACCTGGAACTAGTGTTAACTTGGAAGGCATCGTCTGGCATGAAACTGAAGAAGGTAGGAATTTTTGAGCATATAGTTTAATATCTTGTGTTTGATGATTTTAATGGAAGGATTTTTAGAAAGATTGGTCTTCACAAAGCTTTTAAGCTGTTTTAAATGCACCAAACACTATTCAATTCAGATACACTAAGGATCTTTTATTATATTACTGTTTATTTTTCTTTTTTGTTTTGAAACCCTTTTAAATCTTGATTTTTTTTCTTGCTGAACATACACTTTTTGATTGCATTTTCCTAGACTTAGACTGGCTTTGCTCTATTGATTTTCTCTATGATTTAACATCCTGTTAATCTTTAATGCACCAAGTGTTCAAGACCTGTAACTGCGTCATTGTGAGTCGAGCCAGCAAGGCATCTAAGTCAAGTTACAGTGAAAAGATTGAATGCTTGCAATATAGAGACAGTTTCAGTCGAAATAGTAAATATCTCGTTTCTAGCGGTGGTGTGTTTTTCTTTGTAACGTCATCTCCATCTTTGTATATATGTATATTTCTTGCTGTTTGCCATGTTAAACACAAAGCATTTTTATGACAAGCTGAAGGAAAAAAAATGTTTTAAAAAAGCTTAGTGAGGCGTGCAAGTCTAAAATGTATGTTTATGGTGAATTATAGTGTAATTTAGATTTGAACTGTAAGAGAACCTTTGAGTTGAGAACTAATTTATGTTGTCATAATTTGCAATTGCTCTGCCATGCCTAAATTAATATACCTGGTACAAAATCAATATGCAGTGTAAAGTGTAGTGTGGTTCATATCCCTTGATAATTATTCATCATCTTTTCCTAGTCCTGAATAAATTAGGAAATCATATTTTTTTTTCTTTGGGGTTTCAAAGCAGATTTTTTTCTCTTTGCAGCTAAGTATGAACATTTATCTTAAAGTGACAGTTAACTTTAAATGTTTTTGAGTTAAAACTTGTTTGCACTTTGCAACTTTTTAACCTGTTTTACACATGGGCACTGATAGCATCAATGTGTTTAACATTGCTTTCTAAGCCATCGTTAGGCTGCAAATTATTTTATATTATGTGAAACTGAGCCAGAATACCTAGAAAATGTTATTTTAATCGTCCATATAATAATGAGGGAATTTTAAAGACATATGAGATTTGTAAATATATAAATGGTATATAAAGTGCATGTCATTATATACTCTTTTGTTATATGGGATCATTATGTTCTAATTTTAACCCTGTTAAAAAGGCAAAGGTCAAGAATAAGACAGTGTCTCTATAATGTACACAAATCTTGTCCTTTTCAGCTAAGGCAATAAATCTGTTTTGTCTATTTTCTTATTGGAACCAGTGTAAGGAGAAGTAGTTGTGCACTATGCTAATATCTGTGCTGTCTAAGCAGTCTCTCCAGTTGAATAAACTAAACTTCTGACCTTTGGTGAATTAAATGCCATTGTTTGCAGGAACATTCTTGTTTAAAAAGATGCTGGAAGTATACTGATCATTGTGCTTTGTAGTCCAGCTTATACTCATACAAAACCGCCTTGATATGTTTGATCTACTAGTTGTCATTATTTTTATTTGGGGAGGCAGGGGAGGGTTGACAGGCGACCGCAGCTACTTCATAACACCATGACAGCTTAAATAAGATAAAATGTTTTAGTAAGTGGAGAACCATATGGTTGTTGTACGAGGAATTTAAGTCAATCTTTCTAATAATCCTTTTTTCCTCTAAATTATACATTATATCTCTGCATACTTTTTTTCTGTTTCTTCTGTTACATCAGGGGGACCTTTAGGCAAAACCTCGATCAGTTGACTATCATTATCTAATGTTGTCTGGTCTTGTTTGTTCTTTAGCTTGCTACTGTGTGATTACAGCTCCTGTGGTGCACATTTTAAATAGCTGGTGTTTCTAAAATTGTATGGAAGCCTTGTAAAATATCCTCAGTCACCAAGGCCTTTCAATAGTTCAAATAGTTGTAGCAGGACCTACTCTTTTTCTTAGTCTATTACAATGTAAGAGTGGTCGTTGACCGCCTGCTATTATTGTTTTTCTATTATACTGGAAGAGTGGTCAGTTGCTGGCGTCGCCAGAGATTAAGCAACTTGCATTTTGAAAACCACTTCTTTTTTCTAAATTACACATTTGCATTCCCTTAGAGAGAAAATAAAATGTCTTGGTTGAAAATAATTTGCATTCTTCAGTTCATATGCAAAATTGTCTAAGGATGTTTTGGGGTTTACTTTTTGATCCATTCCATTTTAAAAGTGTGTTGGCAAGAGAATATATTGTGTTAAATTGTTCGCAGATGCATATAATAATTTCCATGACATTTCAGCTGTAACATTTGGGGCACACATGGCTTTCCATAAGTATGTGTAGTCAGATTTCCTGGGATAAGCTCATTCCACCTGGCTTTTCTTCACATTCTAATTATTCCTTAATATATTTCTATTTGGGTTTTTTGTTGCTTTTCAATAATAGCTTTTTCTAATATTCAATCTGAAATCATGGTCTTTAAAATTCAGCACTAGCACCGTTAATAACTGTCTCTTTTGGCCTTACCTCAATCTCCCCCCTCCCACCGCTCTGCTCCGCTAGGCACTCACTTTGTATCCCTTTCAGCAACAAAATTGCTTATATAAGCTCTGATCAAAATAGATGTTAACTGCTGTTGTATTGTGACTATTCAACATCATTTGAGCAAAACCAATCCTGCTGTTTGAAGTTATGTAAATGAGTTGTTTACTGCTAATTAAAATGCATTCCTATCTGGGCCAGAGGGATCTTAAAGTGAATGACTGCTCAGTGTTTTCTGCTTTGTGCAGTTCCATGAGATGCAGAAGGAAGTGTACTGTAAGATAAAGTACTATATTTAGAGAGTTCTCAGACCTTCACTATATCTTATGCTGCTTACAACAGAGATCTGTGCTTAGGAATGTATTGCTTTGGAGGTGCTCACTGTGAAATGAGAGCCATTACTTGGCTTGTCACAATATGCTGTACTTGATTTTTTACTGCAACATAAAAATAGATGCATATGTTTTCAACCAATTGAATACATAAACCTATGTTTTCAATTTGTAATTTCGAGCTTTTATTGGACATGAATAGTATATCTTTATAATACTGATTTCAATTTTGAATTAAATATCCTAGCAGTCTAAACTTCTGACAGAGCATAAACCTGGACTCAAGACTTATTGTCATTATTATTATTATTATTAATATTATTATTTTCTTTTTGGCCACAAATGGATCCAAACTATAGTTTGTATGAAGTACAGACTGAATTAACATATTTTACCATGAAGCTTCACCAAAGTGTGGTTTTCATGTAACTATATTTTATTATAAATATATTGATACCATGCTGTTGAACAGAATGGTTAGAGCAAATCATTTATATTAATTATTTCAGTGCTAGAGTGGTACCAAGACAAGTTGGGTCTGGCACTGTAGTCTCTGAAAGAACACTGAACACGTTAATCGTCTTTCTATTCTAAAGTGCTGTACTGCATGCGTATTAAGTCTCAGGGGTATAGAAGGTTGATTTTTTTCTTTTTTTTATTATAACATTCTTTGTTTTTCAAAGTGCTTTCCTGTAATTCAGAGTCTGACTATTTCTCTTGCTGAGTGGTGTTTAGTGGGAATATATAGAGCAATTAAAACTATGCCTGTATCTCTGAATAAATGCCAACTCTGTCCAACAGAATCATTTAATTACCAGCAATGAAACACATTTGCTTCAAGTGTCAGCATTGACATTTAAAAACAGTTTCTATTTGCATTAACATAAGGAAATATCCACATCTAAATATTTTCCGTTTCAACTGGAGTTACACTTGTTAGTGTATTCATAGAAAAAAATATGAGTTCAGCTTATTAAAAATATACATCTGGATCGTTATGTTGAATATGGTCATCACCAAGAACCAAGAGGCCAGACATTTACTCATTGTCTCGTCATGGTCCAACATTTTCTGCAATCACGATGTCACAATAACATACAATCATATATGCATTAGAAAACCAGCATTTGTACTGTGTTTGCAATGGCACTGCTAGTGACAAGAGAAAGCATCCTATAAATTATATATGTGACCTTTTTGTGTCTGCCTATGGCTTAACTAAAGACAAACTCAATTTAGCATTTACAATAACCTCCAAAACTTACATATTGGAAACCTCCTCCACGACTTCCAAATTTCATGTGTCATAGAGGGTCCAAGTGGACAAAAAACCCTTGTTTAAAGATGAGTAGCAATTATTGGACTATGATATTTAAACCTGATAAAACACATTGCAATGTTTGTGTGAATCCTTATACAAGCAAAAATATTGTAAAATAGGGTAAGTTAAATGTACTAATTGATATTTGTTGTCTCTCGTAGAGGACTAAATTACTGTACAAAAAACGCAATGTTAAACTTAATATGCGTTGTGAGAAAAATAAGCTGTAAACATCCCATACACATTTTTTCTATCTCAGAACTCCTACAAAGACTGACAGTCATTGCATCTCAGCACTTCTATGGAATGTGTTGCTGTCATATTAAAAACAAAGGAGTCTTGTTTTTTGGCAGTTTGGCAACAAACAGTTATAATTTATCTTCTAAAGTCAATAGCACGCTGACACAGGACAAAACGCAAACTTAGAGAAAATGAGAAGGTAGAAAAGGCCCTAGGGCTCAAATGCATACAGCAATGGAATGAATGTTCATTAAAATATGTAGGTTATATTCTACAGAAGGTTTGATCCAATATTTTTTTTTTCACAGTCAGTTTCTTGTGACCAGATTAGAACATTAGTTTAACTCAAACCGAATGTAAACGGTTCTTGATGGTGCCTATACATGACCATGCTGAGGTCATCGCAGTCACAAACTATTAATTAGACTGTTTTGAACCTTTGGCTTTGTAAGGACCATTGTAAATTGTGTAAATTAGTTGTAATACTATGTCTATATTATGTCTAATGAATCTTTATTTTCAACATCACTGTAATTTGGAGTAGTTGTGTTAAGGTAGTCATGCAACCGTAAAATAATGGAATATAATGGTAACAGTATCTTGCAAAACTTTTATTTTAATGAACCATTAGTATTTTGGCACATTGGAACAAATAGCTTTTAGGAGTTGCCCCCTTTTAAGTTCTAAAACCTATATTGACTGAAAGCTTTCAATTTCAAAATATATGCACTATCAAGAAAGTCTGTTATTTTAGAAAGTGTAGAGAAATATATTTGGCTGATTGGCATGCATTATATGAAAACCAGCAGATTTAGATTAAGTGTGCAAACATTTATACATGCTTACTCACCCATTCACGACATATCAGGTATGACAATTGTAAAATTATATACTTTTTTTTCATAAAAGCTGTTAGCTCATCAATTTATATTTAACTTCAAATCGCATTTCCAAATTTGCTTTAGAAATGCAACTTTGGTATATATCAGAATTATGGAAGAGAGACAATTAGAAAGTGTTAAAACCTGAACTTGAAAATCTAGTCTAAAAATAAGATTTTGAAAATGAATCACCCTTTCATCACATACTTGGGATTTGCACATTATAGACCAGTCTACAAGTCTACCAATATGTCCTGTGTTATACTAACAATTTATACTATTTTTCTGTAAGATTTATTATTGCGGAATTAAAGTGTCACAATACATTACATATTGAACTAGTAATAAAAAGAAGCTTATTTTAAAATATAACATTTATTGATGTGTTACTTTATCTTATTCTCCAGATGACCTACATTATATGTTCACTAATGAAGTGCCTCTATCTCATCAAATGATAACATAACAGGTTTTTATTTGTAATGTAGACTCAAAACACATTGCCAATGCTCTTCGATTAAACAGCTGATTAATAGATGTTAGTACTATATGAATGTTTCTATAACCAAACTTAAAATTACCAATTTTATTGACTTTAAATACAGGATATATTGGTGATATATCCTATGTAATAATGTTTGAACTGGTTGTAGAGTTGGTAAATTAAAGGACCACTCTAGGCACCCAGACCACTTCAGCTTAATGAAGTGGTCTGGGTGCCAGGTCCAGCTAGGGTTAACCCATTTTTTCATAAACATAGCAGTTTCAGATAAACTGCTATGTTTATGAATGGGTTAAGCCTTCCCCTATTTCCTCTAGCGGCTGTCTCATTGACAGCTGCTAGAGGTGCTTGCGTGCTTTGCACTGTGATTTTCACAGTGAGAGCACGCCAGCGTCCATAAGAAAGCAGCTCTTGCCGCGCGTGCGCATTCAGCCGACGGGGAGGAGAAGAGGAGGATCGGAGGAGGAGAGCTCTCCGCCCAGCGCTGGAAAAAGGTAAGTTTTAACCCCTTTGCCCTTTCCAGAGCCGGGCGGGAGGGGGTCCCTGAGGGTGGGGGCACCCACAGGGCACTATAGTGCCAGGAAAACAAGTATCTTTTCCTGGCACTATAGTGGTCCTTTAAGTAAATGAGCAATCTCATAGACATGTAAAGAAAAATGGCATAGTAAAAGTTAACTGAAAAAGAACCTCAGCACTTGGCAAAAATTGTTGCAATAGTATTTTATTCAGTCATCACAGAGAGGCAATGTTTCAACACACTAGGTGTCTTTCACAAACCATGCAGTGTGATTGTATTCAAAATAAAAAATAATATTGTTTTTATTATTTTATTATTTTATTATTATTTTATTATTTATATAGTGCCATCAGATTCCATAGCGCTACAACCATGATATAGACATGTATGTGTCATTACATACACATAAAACATTTATTGAAGATACCATGAAGGAGCAGTAATACATTCTGATGTTTTTACAATTTATCTCTAAAAAAGGGCTTGTGAAATCAAACAATAAGGATGGTCAGTTTGTCACAGTCAGAGCTATTAATTTGTTTTTATCTTCAAGAAGATATAAAGCTTTTTCATCCATTGCAGCAGCACACTCTATAATTGTTTTTATATCTCTTATATTTCAGTCTGGTTCCACTGAATTGATATTACCCAAGTTTGTTTTATTTTTCTTTCCTTGTTAAATCAAACAGATACAGATAGACTTTTGATATTGAGTAATAATTGTTCAAAAAGGAAAAATAAATCACCTTTTTATTAATGTAGTTCTAGTCATATTATTTTGTGATTTGTTTTCATTATGTAATAAAAACTGGCATAAACCTTTATTTTATTAATAAATTAATCTGTTAATTTAATAAAATGTTAAATTATTAGTAACATACACATTGAAAGTATTAAAAAAAAAATTGAAAATACAGTGGATAATCTCCAATTATATGCTTGTTGAATGATTATGTAGGCACTAATGGCTTCCTTAGGGTGAGAGAAACATTATTTAATTATTTTGGGCTTTTGCTCTAAGTTAAAAATGATCTAATAACAGCCATGTCTATAATATTTTAAAACCATGAAATAGATTTTAAACTAAAATGTAAATTCCTTACATACATTTCCAATGACAATAACATTTATAACTTTTGGTATTTTACCCCCAGGACTAGATACAAACAGTTCTTAAAGTCACAGTACTTCATAAGACTTAAACACAGCTGGATACGTCTGGCTTATGCGTATGTAAAGGGGAGCTGTCACTTCCCAGAATTTTTCATATTCCGTCAACTTACCAGCTATAACTGACAAATATGCTTTTGTCAGATTTTAAAAATAAAATTAAATGTACCATAATTGCACATCTATCCTTGAATTGGGTACCTCCATTTTAGCACTTTGTCAGCGATCGTTTCAAATGTTGCCCTTTTCGTCCATTGAACACAGTAGAAGGAAGAACTGTAACTATGTCTCTGTTTACACCTCATTTGCACTGTATGAGCTAGCTGTACCATTACTCAATTCAATTGTAAAGTCACTTGCTGGATTAAAGTCACAAGAAAAGTCATGCAAGATACAGTAGTCTAGGTGGTTAAAAATAAACCATGAAATATATTTTGTCTATATAAAAAATGTGCCAGAGAGGCATAGAGAATAAAGGTATCCTCATTCATTTGTGTTCAAATTAAACTCAAATTCAAACCTAAAGAAAGAGGTCTTGGGATAATGTAAAATTATTCAGAGACACGCTTGTCTCTATATGTTAGAAAATGTGGTGCCAAGACCAAATACAGCTATTTAAGCCAAAGAATGGGGTCTGATATGACAGGATCCATGACCAGAGACCAGCATGAACTCTACATGTTTAATATTTTGGGTCTCATTAGTATGCTTAAAATGTGTTCATAAAAGCTATATTAAATGTACACTTTAAATACCCAGAGCTGTAAACATATGATCAGTGGAACAGTAAAAATGTGTTGGGTGAATTATCATAATTGTTCAAAGAACAACGCATTTAAAATATAGTTTGCCTTAAACTCTGCTTAGTCCCAATTCCACTGACAGGAGATTGCCAGTAACCCTTTAAGATATAATTTTACTTATTTCACATATAACAAGTCTGTGTTCAATTACAATATACCAAAGCAATGAACCACTGGATTGAGAGTGACATTTGGTTTGGTAAGTAAATGATCAAATATAATACTTGTCACTTGATCTCCTGAGAGGTTTTTTTTTCCTTCAGCCCATGGAAATAGCAATGTATACACATTTTTTTACTCTTTTGATGCTGTGGGAGTTGTGGCTAAGGCTAGATTTATGCAAGTGTCGGGAAACGGTTTATGGATCACAAGCCATGCAGTCATAATAAACAACGCAACACAGAGAGTGATTTCATGAGACCTAGCTCATATTTGTTCCTAAACCTGATACATGCTTGTATTTGCCTATACCTTACATGCCAAACAGATGGAATAACAGATCTGAAATAGTAAAGCTGGCTGACTGCCACTTGTTCAGTATGTTTTGGTTTTGTATGGATAAGTAACCATTCTCCTTTCCCCTGTTTGTAAGAGCTTTCCTGTAATGTTTTAAGAGAAGCTAATCCTTGGTTTCCTGTAAAGTGTCTGCTTGTTAAATAGATGTTGCTGTAATGTGCTGTGCTGACCCTGAATTGTGTGAGTTTGACATCAGCTAGATCAATGGTCTGTAAAGAAGTTGAGTGGGTTTTCTAATCGCAGAAATAAGAATTTAAAGCCAATAAAAAGGGATCGTTATGTGAATTTTAGCATGAGTTTAATGGTTTTTCAGATTATTTATGTATAGGCACTGATAACAAGTAAGGACATACTTAAAGGTACACGCTAAAATGTTAGGATGTAACATTAGTTAAAAGATGAAGCCTGTGTTGACGGTGTAGGCGGTGGTAATGCAATGCTAGTTTCTGTGGTTACCATCCTGCTGAACAACATTTCTGGCTATTTAGAGAGATGATTGATTCTCTGATCTTTCTTCTAAATTGGACATTCCTTCTGGCATTATTATTATCATTTCCACAACTTAAGTAATTTACACTGCACTTTATATCGTACTTGAAGGGTGTAAAAACTCCAGTCAACAAACAAAGACAAAATTATGTATAAAGAAAGAGGCCTTTTGATCTTATCACAAACATGTTCACATTGTAGGACAAGATATATGTAATTTTGTATCAGCAAGATAACGTTGGGACATCTCTTGTGATATGTAACATGGCCAAGGCTGTTGACTTAGTAGAACAGAAAGGGTTTCAAAACATGACCAACCCTTTTAAAATAGCTAGATAGAATGTATAGTCTTTCATGCTTGGCCCTCAACACTTTCTATTTCTGTTCATCCATCCTGTCATGTTGAATCTTCTTGTTTGTTAGTCCACCTATTGTACAGTCCTGCAAAATATGTTGGCACCTTATAAATAATATTAAATACATACATACATACATACCCCTGGATATTGATAATGTACTAATCTATTAAGTACACTTGAGAAGGCTGTTGATTTTAACTCCTCTACCATTCAGTTACAGCGACTGATGGAATTTTCAACTGCAGTTTGCGTTCAAACCTACTTTCTAAATGTGGGTATGCCCTTCATCTGTAATGTCATCATATAAAGAGGCTTCAGAATAAATCATGTTGGCATGATGCCCTATACTTATGTATACAGCACTATTACATGATCTCTCAGCTAATAGTCACCATTTTGAACTTGCTGTTGACAAATTAATACAGTATACTAATGCACTAGTTACACTGTTTGAACAAACTGTTTATTATAAAATATTCTGCAGTGCTTAAAACGTAGCCGAATGCCAGGGATTCATTCTTATCATTTTTTGTTTTAATTCCAAACTAAACCACAGGCATAAGCTTTACATTCTGTTGATTTGACTGCACATTCCACGCTCAAATATCTCCTCACCACTTATTTTACAATCAAGAACACCTGAGAAAGGACGTATACTGTCTTTTTTAACCTATAGTGCATGTGTATTCATGTTTCTCTTTCCATTCACGGATATTTCCAGCTGGGAAAATATAGTGTGTACAATTCTCTGTGCCTTCAACTGACATTTCTCATAAATTGCAACAGAAACACTGTTATCAGCAGCTTAATAGCAGCTCTACAGATCAAGTCTCAGCATGACACAGAAACTATGGTAACCACATTTTCTAGGCAGATAAAGGAGAAGGGAGGTTTAAGTAGAAAAGTAGCTGAAGCAAAATTGTAAATAGAGACCAAATTACTTAAGAGTTGATAAGGGTTTGATGGATTAATAGTATTGTCCTGTTAAACCTCCACAATGCAGCTGATGTATTCCCTAAAATGTGTTGTACACTTTCATTTTCTCTGCCCTAGTGGGATGGTTGATGCTTATGCGCTGTCCCTCATTGTGAAACAAAAATAGCCAAGACATCTGCTCCTATCCCCTCACATCCCAGCAGATGAGCAGTTCTCCGAAAAGAAGCTTTAGAAATGCGGTTGTTTTGTCTTGTGCAAAAACCCTCCAGTTAGCATCACTGGACTGTACTATACATGTTGATTAATAGATAGCCAAAAGGCAAGCGAGAACATGTTGATGGGTGTCTGTTCATATTGTGTCTAGTATTGCAAAAAAAAAACCAGAACATTTAATGGATACTATTCTTATCTGTGGAAATTGCTAAGAGGTCATTTGCAAATGTCCAAAAATAAATCATGCAAGATAAATGCAATTTCAAATATGTGTAATTCTGTAGAAGTAACGCGTTTGGAAATGTAAAATACAATTTTTAAATGCTTAATATTTTCTAGAATTAGATACTCACTAAGGAAAGTATTTAACAAAAAACAATGTGTGTTAAGAATTAGGCAGATTTTTTTTTTGTCTTACAAGATTATTTAAGGTTATGGTGGGGAAAAATTGTGATTGAAAACCCCTTTCACCTGAAGTCTCTGGATAGTTAATACAATGTTAAACAAAAATCTGCACACCGGTCAAGCCATAAGACTCGCTTTTCCCACAGACATCACAAATTTGCAGTAATGTTACTACCACAAAGTATTCTGGGTGGGCATATGCAAATTAGTTTAACAAAGAATCCCATTTTTGCCTCATTCCATTTTAAACGTGGATTCCTTTGAGTCTGTGTTTGCTGTATACAACAGCTTTGAAACACAACTTAGGAAAAGATGCAAAGCCAGTGAACCACTCATGGACAGCTGTTTCATTGTTAGTGCAAATCATAAGCATGAGGTTGGTAACTGGTTTGCTATTGAGGCTTGGTAGTACTTGGGAAGCAAAAAACAAAAAAGATTATGGTGGGGAAAAAATTGTGATTGAAAACCCCTTCCACCTGAAGTCTGTGGATAGTTAATACAATGTTTTTGCTTCTGTATTCTACTTTGCTACATGATATTCATGCACTGAGCCTTTTTTTCCAGATCTTCTTGATCCCTACCTGTCTCTGGGCTCTCAATCAACTCTTTTGTTTTTTCTTTAATGCCCACGATCCTTATCTTGCTTTGCCTAACCGCACCTTTTGTTTTCTGCACTTTGCTACTATTCTGTGGATAATACTAAATCTGAACTGCTATACAAATCAGCTCTGTAATCCCTGCTGTGACTTTCCCATAGACTGCACTTTAAATCTGTTACAGAGAAATAATCTATTGACCACACATGCAAACCATCTAGTATTGATAATAATAAAATTAACTTTTACAGTTTAGACTAGGATTTTACATTGTACAAGGGGCACACTACAAATCAAACTTCAGTGGTCTTGTTACTGAAAAAAGGGTGATTTAGCAGTATGTTCTTTAAAAATTGTCATCAATATGTAAATGGTAGACATGTTTTTCTAGTTTTGCTAGGATCCCCACCGGCCCCATTGCTATCGGAAGAAGGTAGTGTAATTTGACTGGATGTCCTCAATTACTGGGTTAAAACCATACACATACCCCTTGAAATTGATTTGTATAGGTTGTTCTTTGTTGGCAGTATTTTGGTGGAAACAATCTTTTACTCGAACATCAAAAACTGCCCTGACAACTATTCTACTAATTGGTTTCTTCATCACAATATGCAATTTTGTATTAATTGCACTGTGTTTTAAATGTGTTTTTAATGTGTTTTGAAACACATTTAAAATGTGTTTAACTGTGTTGTATGTTCCCCGCGGGTCTGACACATGATTGAGGGCTGATTAATGGGATAGCGGGGCAGTGGCCGTCCGCCCCGCTCACCGCCGGAGTAGGCCTCAATATTGTCAATGAGGAATCTTCCTCCAGGGGACTGAAGCCCTTTGAGCTAGCCTCACCATGGATCCAGAGCCCTCTACTTGCTGAGGACCACCGTTGCTGGTCGGTTTTATGTCAGTAATCATGTTTTTTAAGGCTTATCTGATCTTAGGTAGCAGGAGCTGGTCTCACTTGCGACCATCCAGCTCGGCGGTCTGGCCCCGCCCCCGTATGTGTTTTAAATACATAATCTACAGGTCTTTTAACCATCCATGTTTTAATAATATGTATACATTTCAGTGGCTGTGATCACCTTTTCAAACAGTTTAGAATTTGAACATGGTATCTTGTGACTTTTCTGGACAAATACATTGATATTATTGTACTAATTAAAACAATGAAATATGCTGTGTTACTTGCCAAAAAGCAATTGCTCATATAGTAAAACAAATATATTCCCCCAATAGTTTTCTGCAAAAGTGTTTTTTTATTACAAGAATGGAAAAAAAATGCAGAGCTGATATTTTTCCGTTACGAGTTTGTGATTGTAATCAGTGGCTGTCAGTCAGGCTGCTGCTTTGCACAGTGTGAACTAAGCAAACTGCCATGTCACTTCCTTGCAAGGCGTTGAAGATTACATCAACAAACTGACAAATTGTAATTGGTAATAAACTTTTCCTGTAAGAATGAGAGGAAACTGTATTATACACAAGTTTACTGCGTATCCTGGAAATATACTTAGCCATGTGTTTCTTTCATAGAGGCTTGTCCAGCTCTGATATCAGTTGTTTTTGGCTCTTTGAAGACACTATTAAGCGTCCATTGAGTGGTTTAGCTATTATAATTTGCAATTATTTTTAGCACTATGTTCCTCCTTGATATACAGCAACAATAACTGCTAGAACAAGGACAACACATTCTTAGCAGTTCTGGTTGCTTATAATGCCTTAATCTATTTGGGAGGGGCACAATTGACATAACTGTGAACAGCGAGTAGAGGAGCATTCACTTTAATTAAAAGGAGAGATGAGAAAATTGACAATTGAGACTTGTTCAACATTTGTTTAGAATAGAAGCAAGCATACTGCTGTGACACAGCCCTGAGGGTTATACACTCCTCCTGGCCCACAGATTTTACCCATACCTAATTATCACTAATGTAAAGTCTGGGAAAAGAACACAAACAATGCAAACTATTTCTAGTAGTTTAGATCTTGGCACATATCAATAGCACCTAATCTTACATTGTCACTTTTCACACTACCTTAAGAATCACACGCTTTGTTTCATAAGTAGAGCAGACCATGGTTTCACTATACACACATTTTCTAGGAGTGATCTTTTTGCTTGTTTTTATTTTAGCTCAAAAACTTTCAAAAACAATTGAAGAGGTATTTAGTAACAATGAATAAGGTTTTTTTTTTTTTTAATTTTGTGACTTAATGAATTGGAATTACCAATTGGGGCTTCTCTTACCAGATACAACACATTGAATGATTTTGTGAACTGGCAATATTCTCTGCCGTGCTGTAAAATACATCGACTTTTTAAAAAAGGTTACTGTCTATAAGTGATTGTAAGTGTAATATATGAAGTTTACGTGGCTCTCATTTACTTTGCCTTAGCTTCAGACTGTGCACTGTATCTGCTGGGTTCCATGTTGTCAAGTTGGCAGAGTCTGTTAAAAAAGTATTTATCTTTGTGATTTGTTTTAAAGTGACTGACTGAAAGCACTTTTCCATTCAACCCCATGTAAGTACTGTCATAGATAGGCTAGCATGCGGACCCCTTCCATACTATGCTAGAAACAAAGATCACACTGATCACACCCACAAGGTCACAGCAGCTGTCTGTAAGTGTGATTTTTGGCTGTGTCCCCAAACCCATGCTGAGCATTAACAGTTTTTGTTTATTCCTTAGGTACAAAGGGGATCTATGCTTAAATTCATAAACACATAAATGGCAACATTGAATTCTAGCCATTTTCTTCTCACAAAACCTAAATCCCTACTTGAGATATTCAAATATATATTTTTATTTTTTAATATCTGCATTGTACCAAAATAAGTAAAAAGGCTTGTCTGCTGTTGCATGGCATATTTGATTGTATTTGTATTATTACTTCTTTTTTCGTCATTTTAGTATATTTTTTTTAAATGGTTGAAACACATTACAATGAGAAGTAAACATAAGGCACAGAGCTGCATTTCTTTCCATGACTCATATTTGGTTTCGTTCTTTTATTTTTAAAAAAAAAAAAAATGTTACATAAATGTGTTCTTTAAATTCCCTTGGTTTCTTCCTCTTCCTATTTTCCCTCACCACATTTTTCTTTTCGTTTTCTTCCTTACATTGATGATCACACGTTTGTAAGTACTATCCTTCTATCATTGTTTGTATACCATGAAAAAAATATTTTTCAGTGGCCTCACATTGTTTTTTTTAATCTTGTCACAAGGTTGATTGTTTAAAGTCATTTTACTGAGAGTAGTCCTTTACTTCCACTATGTATTTTGCTTCAACAATTAATTTCCTTTGCCCATTTTGTTACTGTTTATCTGTGCAAATTTGAGAAACCTATGCATATTGTAAACAAACTACATTATAAATATATTTGTTGGATATCAAGCAGGGTCATGTAACAGCTACACTTTAAAGTTAAAAAGAGTTTGCCTATAAATTGTACTAGCCAAATTACTAGAATGCAAATTAATCTAAATTATAAAGATTTTACTTATTTGCAAAAACCCATAAACTTCTAGTCTACTGTTTAGAGTATTGAACTGTTTGTGGCTCCAAAATGTGTATGTGTACTTGTTGCGGAGGCTAGATTTGTATTTTGGGTTTTGGGATCACACATTCCCTGTAGAGCTATGTCCGCCTTACATCCTTCCTGAAGTCTATAAAATAATTACTATTGTGTCTGATAAAGTAATAAACACAATTCTTAACCTGTACTTTCTAGTACAACACTCTGTTGTTATCTGTGATTTAGAACCTATGTAGATGAAAAGTACAGAGAGTTTCTGCTGGTGTTCACATTGGAATTAAATGTAACACATTTCTTAATTATTAAAACAATATGGGCTGGATTTTCTTAAAGTAAGATTTACTCTGCTTACTAAATAGCAATTCATCCATTAAAGTATTTGGCAAAATTGCTTTTCAGTAAGGAGAGTAAACCATTATTCCTTTAAGAGTATAAAGCCTTTTATGTGACAACGGCATATGAGTCAACTTGATTAATCCAGCCACAGATTCCGACGTTCTCCTAGATTGCTGCTGTTTTTACCCCTGTTACTGTCCATGTACCTTAAAATATGCATCCTGCTTTTTTGTTCAAATAAAATAACTTCATTCAGTTAGCCAGTATTCAAATTTACAATCTGAGGTGTGAACAGCCTTAATTGTAACTTCACATGTTTACATACAACCAAGTATACATCTGTAAAAATCCCTTTCACATATTCATTCATTCATTCATTTATTCATACAGAGGTGCAGTTTGTACGATTGTTTTCCCTTTAAAATGTATTGCATGGCTGAACAAGTTTTCTGATTGCTTCTCAATGTTGTTTTATCTAACATTTTTGATAATGCACCCCCAGCCAGGCACTCTTCATAGATTGTGAGTAAATATGGATTAATGATAAATGATAAAAATTTCTCCATATTTACAGCCAATCACTGCCAAGGTTGACATCCCTGCTCTTCAACATCATCATCATGTTTGACAAAGCAGAATACACCTCAGCAGGGCCCAGCCCATACATATGGTAGTTAAACAAATGTGCTGTCAAAGTTTCAATGGTCCACATGATTGTTTATGATCCCTGCAAGGCAGTGATGGCTGTCATTTTAGCTTTTCTACAGTCATTTGCTTAACGTCTTAGCCACAGGCTTACACAACAAATGATACAGATTTTTTTTTCAGCTCAGTGAGCTGTTTTGCACATCCTGTTGCTTTTTTCTTGTATATGTGGACACTTTTTCATCAAGAAACTTTATTTCTAAAAAAATAGTAATTCTAAAGAAGGTGTGATGTATGCTGTACTTTAATTTTTACAATTTTTAATATTGATATTTGTTTATGTTTCAAGGATATTGTTAAGATGTAAGTTTTAGATGGGATAAATGTGTTGTAATGCTTCTGCATGTGCAATGTCATCCTAGAAACATGAATGGCTCAAGAGCATAATGTCAATCTGAAAAAGATATTTGTTTGTTCTGGAAAGCGTCATCCATCCAATATATTAAAGGTATTACATTTTTTTTCTTGTTTGCTTTATAGAGAATCAATTTATCCATGTGACATGTGCTTGTAGCTGTGCTAATCCTCAGTTGATTAAATAAAGAAGGATATGGTTCTTAAGTTCACCTCTTAATGTATTCATCTAGAAATGTAAGCACTAAGCCAATCCTATTATAAAATGTATATAGTGGATTTTACATCATGTACCGCTAAGTGAATTGGACCATTTGTTGCAGGTCTAATTCAGACTGTTGTTTTGGTTCCCTTGATATTATTATACTTTATGGCTCACCTACAAACAAAAAATGATCAGTAGATCAGATGCACACGCTTATAGAAATTACAATACTGGGTAACTTTATATATCAGGTGGTTGTTTATTTTAAATCAAGAAATAAACATATAAATAAAGCAAAACAATAATTAGGGAGTGATATGGGTGAGGGTCTCTAGAGCAGTTCCCAAATGTAGCTTCATGAAGCTAAACCAATAGTGTCACTCTCTGGTCTTCAAGGGATATGAATCACAATATAAAGCTGATCTTAAAGTGTCACTCTCAGGTCTTCAATGGTGATAAATCTCAATACACTTTTGTTAGTCTCACTAACCTAAGCTGGAATACAAAGACTTACGATCCCACGTACTGAACTATTTCCTTAAATGGCAGGGTTAGGCTAACTGGCTTGGACTATTCTTTTACATACTTGGGTCAATCTAACCAAAACAATAATTTAATCTCTGGTTTTTGGTGGAGACCTTTCAAACAGAAGCCACATCAGAAAGAATTGCAACCAATATGAGCTGAACCTATAACTGCTACATGGGTTACGTTTGATCTGGACTAAGAGTACTCTGACCATGTATAAGTATAAGTTCTGTATATCAGTAGCAAATTTATCCAGTTCTATCTGCATGTCTGTCCATTCATCTCCCTCATATGTGTTATCTATCTCTATCTTATCAGTAGGAATATGTTGTTTTCTGTCACTAGTATGGAGGACTTATACATTTTATTTATTCCCTATGTGCTGTTTGTGTTAAAGGCATTTCCAAAAAAGCATGTGAATAACAAGGACCCGACGAGCTGAATATATTTTAGCTATTTATAATTTCCAACTAAATTGTCAATAAATGTATATGTTACAATGAATACATTTACATGAATATCACCCCCTCCCTCATGGTGCCAACGGTAGACAGCTATGTGAGACCAGATTAATACCCTGGTATCATCCAACAGCATGCAGTATTTGTAGATGCAAACACACACTTCCTCAACCACCAACAAACCTTCACAATTTTTCCATCTAAAGGGTTTCAACTGTTTGAGAGAGAAAGTATGGTTTTGCATATTGCACTTTAAACAACCCTTTGAGTAACATAATGCATACACTACAATATGAGATTTATAAAATGGAATTCTCTGTATGTCTCAGTACAAAGTCAATTTAATTTTGCGTTAATAATTTAAGTGCTTTTTTCAGAACATATCTGTCATAAGTTAGATTTATTTATTTTTTTGTTCACAATCAAATCATTTGCTGAATGGCAGCTGAAAAGAAAATTGGTAAAAGGAGACTCCGTTGCTCTCTGAGCCTTCCAGATTGAAATCCCCTTTTGAGCTACAGCTAATTCTGGAAGCAAAAAATGTTTTCAGCAAAAAGCTAAATTGTTGAAGGGGAGACAGAGTAATTGCTAGGCTTGAGTATTTCTTTGAAATAGATGAGATTATATGGATCACAGTTTAATACAAATAATGTTTGTGATAAGGGAATAGTTTTTATAGTATGTACATTTTATCAATTTATGGCCGTGGCAGGTTGCTTGGTGATAATAGACTGATTTTGGCTTTTCCTCAAAAGACCTCTTTTCCCCTCCACATTAAATGAATGCTTCTTATATATTTAATAATGCTAGTAGAATGAAGTCTATTGTCATTATGCCACCAAAGATTGAGAATAAAAAGCAATTTAAACATTGCATGCTTATTCATGACACTTAGAACAGATCCATTACCTCTCCATGAGTAGTGTGATCTTGAAGTAAACTAAGATCAATATGGGGAGTGGGGAGATATCAACTGAAAACCTGCTTACATAGATAACTTTACTCCAAGAGTAAATAAAACATATATAATATTTATTATCACATTTGAAATACAATAGAATATTTATCATTATATTACATGACATAGGTTAAAAAAATAATAACAGGGCAGGTGGTAGCTTCTATTCAAGGTTAATGATCATAATTTTGAAAACAGCCAACAGTAATAGTAATTCAGCCTATGGCTGCCTAATGGCACTGGAATGAAGTATATAGTGCTTTTAAAAGTGAGTAATTTATCTACCGTTTTCTTTTCTACAGTACTCAGTGTTCTAAGCCTTGGGTGATGTGGTGTGTTGTTTATTTTCTCTTTTGGAAGCACATTCGCAGTTTAGTTCTGAAAACACAGTTAGTAGCATTTCTTTAGAATTAGGAATTGTTTTGTTACATTATTTGTTTATAAAGTGCACACATGTTCTGTAGAGCGGAACAATTGGTGTATGAAACATACAAGTAAATTATGTCATACAGTAACAATAGGTGGCCATTGTCTTTTTAAAGGATCTGTAAGTTTTAAGACAAAATATTAATAATTCTGACGATTTTATACCATTTTGGAAAGAAATTGAAATAAATGGTCAGTTGAGTGAGATATACAAAAACACAAATTAATTTATAGTTAATAGGCTGTGAAAAGGCAACATTTTCACATCAGAGAATTCATAGAAAACATTTAGTTTCAAGGAAGGCATTGCCAGTAAGTGAATGCAGATTACAAAGGCCCTTTTTTGGTATTGAACCTTGAACTTTCTTACTTTCATCCAATAAAGAGAGAATAATGTAAATAGAAACCCTGCAGTTTGAGTTAGGTCTAATGGGGAAAGGTTGTAAAAACCGTAAAAGGGTTTGATTGATTGGCGTCTACACTGCAATCCCAAGAGCAAAGTGATAATGCCTTGTTCCCCCTCCTACCCTCCATCACCAGAGGATTTTATGTGACACTCATGGTTACAGATTATCTGTTGAGAAAAGCCATTATCTTTGGTAGGAAGACATTATAGGTAGTGGTTTAAAGTGAAGGAAACATGGAATACATCAGAGCAAATGTACAATTACCAATTATTTATAAATAATAATTACATGTATGTATACCAATAAAATAATAATGTTAATATCAGAACTGGTGAAAATACAAATTGGGTTTGCCAAAAAAATAAATGTTTTTATTTTTATAGAGTGGAGAAGATGTTACCTTTCATGCTGGTATAGATGTACTTTCTGCATATAAAGAGTTGTGTTTCACCTGTATTTATTCTTGTATATTTGCTGAGAATTGAATGACAATCCTCAGTAACTTGTTTGTATAAACAAGTTATGGATAAGTGTACCAGTCATGTCAGATACATTTGCTGTGTGACCATCAGTGTCCACATCTGGTGGAAAGGTTGGGGGAACATGAGACTATCACCCCAAGTCTTTTAAAAAAATCTAAAACAATTCAGTTGCTGTTTACATTACACATGCTAGTAAGACTTTAAAACATGTGCACCCTTTTTCACCTAAATATATTTTGGTATACATATCAGATGTCTCTACTGCTAGATGTCTCTACTGCTACATGAACTCTGTTGCTTAGTTTAGGCATTTACCTTATTATTATTATTATTTTATTATTTATATAGCGCCAACAAATTCCGTAGCGCTTAGAGCAGGGGTTCCCAACCCAGTCCTCAAGTACCCCCTACCAGTTCAGGATTTAGGGAATACCCAGGTGTGTCTGACACAACTGGATAATCCCTAAATCCTGGAATGTTAGAGGGTTCTTGAGGACTGGGATGGGAACCACTGCCTTAGTGGGTTATTGGTGCATTTTTTTTTCTTTTGACAACTTCATGATGCCTAGTTATAAACTTGAGCTGAAGTGTTTTGTTTTCTTCATCATCCAATCTATCTCAATAATTTTTTAAAGGACCACTAAATTCACCCAGGTCACTTCATCCAAGCCAAACATTATTGCTGTTTTACAGAAATGTTTACCTCCTGAAGGGCTAAACACATTTCCAGTGGCTATTACACTGAGGCCCCTAGAGGCGCTTCTGCTGCAATGACCTAGGAAGCTTGATCACGTGATGCAGAAAACTTGGAGATGCAAGCGGCACTTGCCTCGCGGCACTTGTCAGTCTCCAATGCTTCTCTATGCAGAGCATTAGATTTTACCATCATAGAGGAGGTCATGCTTCCTCTATGACATTGCAGGGAGAGAGGTAAGCAGGAAAAAGGGATGTAAATAACATTATTTAATGGAAACCAAGTGGGGGGGGGCACCATTAAGCTTATTATCTACAATGATTATCGATGTCTGTCAGTCTGCCTGCTTTCCTTTTGAATACCTGTCCATCCACCCATTTATTAATTTATCCACTTATAGTAAGAGCTTACCTGCTTGTAATTGTTGTTATATTTAAAAGTGTCTCTATTTTGTTTCTGAACTCTTTTCTCTTTTTTTTCTTTTACTTAATATCTGCTAATGTATAAAAGAAAAGATATTTCAAAACTACTAGAAAACTGTATAATTAGCAAAGGTTACCGGAGTATAGAGAATAGCATTGCTGAATCATACTGATAATTGTAAGGGCAAGTTAATAATTGTGAAAACTCTTGCATAAGGTTAATGATTTACCCCAAATCTTTCTTTTTATCTATACTCTCAACGACCACTTCATTATATATTGGCCTTTTAAGAAAATAGTTGCAAAGTAACTTGTGATTGTAACCTAATATATAATGTATTTAGACATGTTTAAAAGTGAATGAAGGCACCCTTTAGACTCAAAGTGGATTTTATAATGTTTTATGCATTGTAACATTTGAATATTAAATATTATGAATAAAAACACCTCCAAATTTCGCTTTTCATATTTTTTTTTTCTAAGCTTGATTTACCTCCTCTGAAGTAAACTTAAACCAGAAACCAGAGATATTTCAGTTAATCCCTTGTGTACATTTGAAACCAATGGAATAAGCAGAGCTCATAGATATCTAATAATAATAATAATAATAATAATAATAATAATGAAGCCATACAGGTAAAGGGAAGTCAAGCATAACTATATAACAGAACAGAAGCTAAGCATGTACAATCAATTTCCCTTTAATTGTGTATGAAAACATTGTACACATACTTTGAGACTGACCTTTGGGTCACATTTTGCTGGGTATCTAGATGCTATCTTTTGGATTTAAGAGACAGTAGGAGGTGGAGATTTGGCAAACAGGATTTATTTAATTAACAGAAAACTAATGATTATTCATTACTAAATTACTTTTCAATGCTACACTGTTATAAATGGAAACCTGTTAAAAAAAATATATACACACAAAATGCGCAGCCAGCTTAATTAATTGCAATTTTGTATGCTAGAGTATGTTGAATACCATAATAAATAAATGCAATGAGGAAAATGTAAGTATTTTAAGGGTTATTCCCGTTAAATATAAATGCATATTTTATTTTCAGACCATTTTATTCGTAAAATGAATTGGCATTCAGTAAGCCCAAATTGGTTGTGTTGACTATCAGAGTGGTTGTCTTTTTATTCGCTGGAGGAATAGACATGTTGTCACACACCATTAGTCTTATTTTCTAAGAATTATTTAAGTGAGCCATTGAATACTTGTTCTACTTAATGATTTCTTTTCTTTTGTTTAACACTTTAAATAAAAAAGTAATAAACACAAAATTACAAAGGCAGAGGACAAATGCCTCTCTGGCACCAAACTGATTAAAAGATAAGTCTAGTACATCAAATGCCTATAATGGGTGAAATACCTTAACATAGTCAAATTCTTGGTTTGGAAAATAATTTTCAGTACAGTATCTATCTATCTATCTATCTATCTATCAAATATATATTTCTATATACATATTTGCATTTTAAGAGGGTAGTAAGTCTTATTTCTTGCCTACGTGATATTCAATTTCAACAGGGCAGTCCAGCTGCTTGCTGGAGGAATTAAATCACAGAAGACCATAAAGAAAATTTGCACGCAGCTGTTAAACCATTTAACCTTACTTTTTTATCCCATGTAATCTGTCATGCGCTGAGTAATTTTAAGTATAGAATGTGGTATCTACTTTTAAGTCATTACAGTAATAAATAAAAGCTACAAACATTTGTTAATGGGTGTATGCTGATAGCAGGAGAGAGAATGGGAATTTCTTGCTTAAGGGCCAAGGATTTATAACAAATCATAACATAAAGAAATAGTGTAAATGAATATTGCTAGTGGTGCTGCCTTCAGGGGATTATGTGAAGCAATCATTTACAAAATAGCATTTGTCAGGATCTGTTAGAACAAACAATTTATCGGATAATTTTTTTTAAAGTTTTGTTCTTTTTCATTGTGTGATAGAACCAGACAGTACATAGTTGAAAAAAACTTGGGATGCTATTATTATTGCCATTTATATAGAGCCAACTTAATCCACAGTGCTTTACCATTTAAAAAAGGGGCAAATTTAACAATAAATGAAACAAATACAAAATGTTACAGGAACAATAGGTTGATGAAAACCTGCTCAAATGAGAATACAGTCTAGAGGAGGTGGGGTATACAAAATACAATAGGAAGGGCAGAGTAGGGGATAGCAACCAAGCAACAAGGTAGCACAGTAGCTTAACTGGAAGATGAGAGTGAAATATGATCCATTAAGAGAGAGCAAGAGACAGATTTGTGAAATGGGTTTTAAGGGAACTTCTTAAATGATTTAGACTAGGGGAGAGTCTGATGGGTGAGGCAGACTACTCCAAAGGAATGGATACGCCCTCGAGAAGTCCTGCAAGTGTGAGTTAGCAATAGGGGTATCAACAGCAGGCAGGAGAGGGTTATCGGCAGAGTGAAAAGATGAGACTAGAACTGTTTTAGGTAAGGGTTGGTATTTAGAATCGACTCCTATAGAATAGAAAAAGCCAATGTAAGTAGCAGAGGGTCAAGGTGTGAGAGGAGCGACAGAAGAGAGAAAGCCTGGCAGTAGCATTCATTAAGGACTGTAACGAGGCTATATGATTTCTGGGGAGACCAACTAGGAGAGGATTACTAGAGCATGAATAAGTTCTTTAGCAGCATCTCGTGTAATAGAATTGGCAGGATGTGTCAACAGAGTGGAGGTGAGGTGCAAATGTGAGACCAGAATAAGAGATAACAGCAAAACTGCGAGCTTGCAAGGACAGATGGGGTGTAATCAGCTTGCAGGGAGAGCAAAAGGGGAAGATCATTATTATGATGAGTAAAAATAAGAAGCACCAATCAGAGATGGAAGAAAGGCAACCAGTGATGTTCTAGGAGAGAGAGAGAGAGATCAGGGAGGAGCGCTATATCTGGGTGTCATCGGCATATATGTGCTAGCAGAATTCGAAAGAATCGATAAATTTTCCAAAAGTGGCAGTTTTAAGAGAAAACAAAATGGGACAAAGAACAGAGTCTTGGGGGTCTCCAACTGAGACAGGACCAGGGAGTAGGTGTCATTAGAAACAGAGACACTGAATGAACCACTGGAGGACATTGTCACAGAGGCAGAGGGAGTGAAGAGCTTGAAGAAGGAGGACATGATCAACAGTGTCAAAGGCAGCAGAAAGATCTAGAAGAAATAGGATGGAGTGGTGACCTTTGCGTTTAGCCACAATTAGATCGTTAGTTACTTTAATCAGAGCGGCCTCAGTAGAATGAAGGGGGCAGAAGCAAGATTGAAGATTGTTGAGGAGAGAGTTGGAATTGAGAAAGCATTCCAGATGGGTAAAGACAAGTCGTTCCAGAAGTTTTGAGGAAAATGGGGGAAAGGATATGAGACGGTAGTAGGAAGGGGAAGATAGGTCAAAAAATGGCTTTTTTAAGACGGGTACAACAGTAGCATGTTTAAGGGGAACGGGGACAATGCCAGAGTAAAGAGAACTTTAACTTCTATCTCACCAATTAGGCATTGCAGAACATATCACTTCAGCTCCTAGCAGTTAAGGGTTCTTAAACATAAAGGTACTGACATCAGAGCCAATATTACAGCAGTAAACTGCAAAACTGCTACAGTAGGTTACAGAAATACACGCTTTTCCTTTTTTCGATGGAGAGTTCACTGCAGGGTTTATTGATTAGATTAAATGGATATGAGCTGTAAAATTCAGAATATTCAGTAAAACTATTAGAGCTTCCAATATGTGGTAAAATAGGAGTTGACATGAGTCTCTCTTGATTTGAGCTCCTGATTTGAGTAATTATTTAAATCAATTGGGGCAAGATACAGGAATAAGTATGTGAAGACTTTAATTGATTTAATGTATACAATAGCAATCTTCTAAGCCTGGGTTGGCTATGTTTGATTGCGATTTAAATACGCTGTGGTAGATGTTGTGTCATTTATTTTAAGAGACTGCTATATATTTCATGAAATGATACAGCCCCTACTCCAGCATCTATAAGGGTCTGGGACAAGGATCATTAATCTAGTGCTGATATGATGTTAGATCATGGTAACCCGTCTACCAATAAACAATATCCTAAAGTTTGTCCATCCCTGATCAAAGCTATGGTAAGAGGATGGACATTATAAATCTGTTCACGGATAATATTTTAATAACTGATTTTAAATTTCTTGTCAGAAAACTATTATTGAAAAAATAGTTAAAATGCATATATCTAACACTTTTTACTGATTAAAATCTTTTTCAAATGGGCAACCTATTAGGTAAAAGTCAAATGCATGCTTGGAAATGTTATGATCTAAGCAGAAATGACAAGTATGTGAGTGCAAATTTGTTATTCAAAATATTGGAAATTCTGCTGGACTGTTTAAACATGTTACAGTGCATATAGATGGTGTTTATGCTCCATTGATTGATGGAAATTTCTTTTAGGCGACAGGTCCATTTTGAAATGCAGAAACATTCAGTTTGTTTTGTCTGTGTTGCATTCAAATAGGGAGTTATATATTTTCTCTACTCCTTAAATAAAAGCTCATGCTATTCTATTATTTTTCTAATAGGGTTTTTGTTTTATCTTATTTTATTATTTTCTAACATTAGCACTTGCAGATAAAATGTGTACTGTCTTGCTGCTCCCTACGTCATGGAGAGTTGCAGTTCTTGCTCCCCTTGTAGAAAATTCAATGGAATATCATTGGGTTGCATTATCCCTTCCTGAAGCCAGCTGTGCATTTTATGTTTTTTTTCTTTACATTGTTTTCTGTCAGGGGCAGCAAGACCTCCAGCAAGATCCATGAATCTTAATGAAACATGAAAAAGAAAAATAACAAAGGTTTATCTTCTAAACTATCATAAGAGATAAATACATGTATAAAACCATAGGCATTTATTTGCGTTGGAGAAAAAAACTAGGACAAATATGACTCTTGAATATAAATTTGAAGAAAATGTGTCACACTGTATTGCAATTGAAAACACAATTCACTTACTTAAGTCCGGCTTTTAGGTACACTTTTGACAAATAATATTGGACCACACAGCACTTGAAATCCATTATATTTATGTGATGAAGCTATATGACTCACTAGGGATTTTCATTCTTTAGCATAGGGATTACAGTGTATAATATGATTTAGTTTATTTTGGTTTGATTACTCTGATGGATTTTATTTTAGTATTTGCTTATGTAAATATTTTTAACCCCTTCACCAGTGAAATCGAGTTTAAACAATTTTTATTATATGTAATTTGCAGTATGAAATTTAGTCCATAAAGCCTCACTCACCCTTATTTATAAGAATGTAGAGGAACAAATTTCTCTGCCAGAGGACACTAGTTACTGATATAATGCCTGCAGGTTTGCTCACAATGTAAGCTGCCCCCGCTTACAAACAGTAAAGTTAGTTTCAATGGGTCATGTCATTTCTACAGGCAGGGTTGAAGGAAGAGCTACCATTTCACTGTTAGTCAATCTCAGGAATGTTAATGTAATGCTAAGAATGATATTGCAGTTTTAAATATCTTTTTTTTTTAAATATATGATTTAACTGTATGCACTGTATGTGGTCATTAGGCAGACATTCTTTTTACATTCTGTTGCTATTTTCAGAAAATGGCACTGCGAGTTATGCCTTAAGGGTTCTTGCAAATACCTATAAGCAAGGTATTTGAGTATACATCTAATTTTGTCACGCGTACTATATGTGAGAAAAATTAAATTTGTGCTTTTATTCTAACGTTTAAATCCCTGTGTAAAATATTGCAAGATAAAGTACACTGTATGCTGGTAATCACGCTATTAAGTATGTAATTCACTGATAAGAGGACAGTATGGCTGTAATTAACAAGAAAGATACTATATAATTTTGAAAAACTGTTTAGTATGTTCGAACATTGGGAGATTTTCTGTGTGAGGGGGAGGGCACACTTTTTATTTATTATTACTACTTTTATTTTTTTTATTTTTTTTATTTGTGCCTCTGTGTATTTTGCACCCTCTGCCCACCCCCACACTATGCCACTACTTGGCAGTGAAGTGGTTATGATGTAAATTGGCATCTACAAATGCATGTGAATGAGAATTTCACCAACATAAGACCAATTCTTTCAAGTCATCTTTTTTTATCACAAGTTGTTTAGTAAGATAATGCATTAAACATTAGTGTTCATGAATATACTGTATGCATGTATATGAGGAAGATGTGAATAATTTTTCTCCCTATCAGTCTGTTTTTGTTTCTCTGAAACTGTATCTAAAGACATAATGGAGAGAGATCACGTCTAGTAAAAGCAATTTTGGCCCTTTAAAGAATTGCTTATTAGCAATCTGTGTGATTTACTGAGGACTCAGCTGGCTGCCAGCAGCGGTTTAGGAATGTGTTCTCCAGGGCCTGGTAGCAAAAGATGAAAAGGACCCAGAGCTGGCACAAAAGCAAATAAATGCTTTGACTTTAACTAAAACATCATAATTTATGAGACTGTTTTCCTCACTCTCAGCACAGCATGAATAGATAACAGCTTTGACTGTAGCACAGAGTATTTGCTGCTTTTGCAACATCTTCTTCACATTGAACTGCAAAAGCCTTTCTTTTTTTTTCACACACACACATAATGAGTCATTTGCACAATACTGTAAAGTATTCACATTCTGTTTTTTTTTCCTTTCACACTGCAAATCTAGAATCTATTAGTGGGCATATGCAGAGATTAATTAACTTTCAGAGAAGCGCTACTTGCTGGATCTCATAGGTTTACATCTGTTCTAGATTTTTTTTTTCCTAGGCTCATTTTGCTTTTTTCTGTGTTCAACAATCATTCAGTTGTTTTTTTTCCCACCACCTAGTTTTTATGAAATAAATTCAATGTTCTGCTGATCAGTTCTCGGAAATTACCTCCCACGGGCTGCTCTTTTTTTTTTCTTCTTTGGGTCTCTGGCATGAAACGAATGTTCTGCGTTCCATTTAGATGTCTGAGAGACTCAGACGGTCATGTATGGTCATTTAAATGCTTCCACATAATAATGAGAAAACATCAACGTGTTTTAAAAGCAATTTAATCAGTTTTGCATATGTTCTATCTAGCAGGGATATTTTTGAAAACAAGACAGGAGTATCTTATTTTGTGTTTCTTTCCTTTATTTTTGTATTTTATTGACTGCATTATTATGTATATGTAAAAAAAATGATGTGTAAATGAAGAGATAGTAGTAGGGGAGAAGGAGGCATTTCCAGTGAGCAGCGTCCATTTTAAATAACACATCATTACATTGTTAGATGAAGAGCACAAACACTGTACTTTTGCACTTACTATAATTCAGTATTGAAAGTGACAACAATTTGGAAGTACCGCTTAGTGTTTGTCTACATGCTGTGTTTTTATAACCTACTCAAGTCATACCTGTCTCTAAAGGGTTCTGGAATTCACACGTCTATGTAAATACAATCCTCATCTCCTTATCCATTACCGACCTATGAGTAAGTCTCCTAAGGTGCTTCACACCCATTAGGTTTTTATCATCCCAACCCCTAGCCAATAGCCTTATTTTTAAGACACTTAACAATAAAGGCAATTCAAAGAAGAACCATGTAGTTACAGTCTGTCCTTCCTTTGTGAAACTGCTGCCCACAGAGAAGCTTTTGACACCTTTCTCTTTTTTTTCTTACTGTTTTTTTTCCCATTGTTTTCAATGCTTGAGGCATCATAGACATCGAACCAGCTTGCAGTCAGAAACATGGGTTAACTCTCTAAACTTGTACTTAATTATTTCAACCCAACAATCCTCATACTGGTTTTCTAGTTTTATTCCTGTGCTTTAGCTTGGGGGCCTTGACTGAGGGGAGTATCATGGGAAAATTCTTCCTTTGCCCATTTTAGACAGTAGCCTTCATAGCTCTCAGTGATGTATACTTTAAAATTTTACCATAGATAGGAAAACATACTGTGATTGAACTGGCAACTAAAACGCACTAGACAAGAGCCCTAGGGTTCTATTGGGCCAAATTGCTAAAGAGCAGTTGCTGTGCAGCACACTTATTGAGCTGTTTACAATAACACAGACTGTTTATTAGCAATTACACAAAGTTAAGGGACATATTAATCTAGGCAGTTGTACATTGCACAATTATCTAATGTGCTTTCAAATAATCTGTATTATGTTGAGTAGCAGAAGATAATTTGTCATTTGTTTTTCCTTTCTCTCGGTCTCTAGGTGTATTTTCACACAAGAAAATATCAGTTGGATTGCTTTATATTCTATTTGCCTTTTCTTCTTTTTTCTCGTTCATCGTTATTATTATTCTTTTTTTATTTTTTTTGTTCTGATCTAGTTGCAGGGAGGGTGCTGTGGGATAGAGAAAAAAATCTAGCAGTGAGAATCCTGTAATTAATGCAAAGTACAGGAAGCTATGCTGACAGATAAGCTGATAGCTCTGCAATATATTGCTTGCTTAACTGACTTGAGGGACCCAGACCCAGGAGGAAATAGTGACTTTTTATTTTTTCCTTTTTCTGCAGGAAACAGCTAAACCATGTGTTCTAAAATTCTGCAGCATTGGCTTTGTACATTATTCTGTAGCATCCCTTTTTTAGATAATGGTTTCACTAAAATATCTCAAGTTCATTTTTTGTACAAATTAGAATTTTTATCAACAGATTTGTATCTATTTGTATCTAATGATCATTAAATAATTAGAATCTAATATATATATATTTAAGAATTTAATTTATATTGTTTACACCTTGTGTTCTGATGGGTAGAAGGTCTTATAATTCTCAATAATGCAGCAAGCATTCTTTGTTTGTGACATTACACATAGTGAATTTTTGTTCTCCACCCTTCAGACCACAGACTGACATCATGTTACTTGCAATATCCATGGAAAAGGTACTGTTACTATGGAAGCAGGGTGGAAAAAAAAGGGAAAATGGCAAGAGTGATGCTTTTAGCTGACCAGTCAACTGAATATTGACCAACTGTCTTTTCATGAGGAAGAAATAGATGGCAGTGAATAAGCTTGAATCTAGTTTTCCAAGAAGCTGAATGATTTTCCCAAATCAATACAGCTCATCAGGCATCAGAACAAAGGCTGCAGGGGGGGGGATGCGACAGTGATTGAGGTAGTGATAGGTTCTTTGTGTTTAAGAGCAGGAAGACCCAGGGGAATGCTAAGTCTGCGTTATGCTTTTCATTGCCTACTCAGTGTGCGTCTTTCAGAGAAGGTTTTCAAAATGTGTCTTTTATGCATGAGAGAGAGAGAGAGATCTGTGGATATAAAAGCAGGAAATCTTAGCAATCTAATCTAATTGTCAAGCAATTAACATTTTACATGCCGAAGTAATGAGCAAAACCATTGTTTAGATATTTGTCTTCAGTCCTATGCAGCATGCACACAGTTTTCTCATATCTATTTGTATACCACATTTGTGTACAGGGCCTCTCACAATAAAGCCATGTCATAATTTGCCCAGACCCCATTTTAATGGAGCCCTCAAATTATTTAGCATTTCATACCGGTGACTAAAACAGTTTTTGTAAGAGCATTTGTTAAATTATGATTGATTGATTGATTGATTATGATTATAAACATAGTCAATGCACTTCTGAGCATTTCCCATTGCATTTTGTCATTTACACATTAACACAAGGCACGGCTCTGCACAATTATTGTACTCAAATTGCAATTACTAAATGTCAAAAGTCTACCATCTCTAACTGCCTACAGAGTCACTCTATCTAAACCAGCAATTTCTAGCCCTTTTCGTGATTTAATCTGTGCATAGTGCATTAACACCAGAGAAATGTGTCTTAAAGGTTTATGATTGTAGTAGCTGCAGCTCACTAGGGCATAAAGTGTTTCATTATGCTTTTCTTTGTTACCGCTGCCCTATCTCCTGGGCTACATTGCACTACATTATTTGTTCAGATAAAGCCCTATGTTCAGGGTGACTAATCTTAGCTCTGTGTTCCAGATGGTTTGATTACAGGATGTGGTTAAAATTACTCTTCGAACATTTGGCTTAGCTATAGGGCTGAAAAAACAAAATGAAATAAGCTATGATGCTGTCTCTGGTCACCTGGCATATTTCCCTTGCTTTAATTGCTAAGTGTTTTTAAAGACTCCTTTGTAAAGTTCTAAGGTGCAGCCTCAAGTTTGCATTCAAGCATATTTATCTTGAATGTGATTTTATTTCAGATTAAAATTATAGGTCTGGACCTGTGGTCATTTAAATTAGAACTCTATGAGATAGCGACAGAGTGTGTGGTTAAAAATATATTGGGGAAGCTGTGTTAAATAAATATTGTTCCTGTGACATGTACGCTGTAATTGTCTTGGCGAAAGGTCTACATGCTCCCAATTACGGAAGCCTGAGACTTTTGTACCGCATTGTATACTTTCTTTTTTGTACTTTCCTTCAGTGAAAAATAAACAAAAATAAAGAATGTTAAAACATAATAATAAATATTGCTCCTCTACTGGAGAAAAACATATTTTCATATTCTATTAAACCTTAGCATTCGTTTTTTTGGAAAATACAAGACATTTTGAGCAGGTCACTCTCCACCATGTGTTCCGGTGAACTTCCTTGTTTTATCACCACGTTAATTTATTGAACTGGACTGATATAATAAGTATAACATAAGTAAAAAAGCGTATATTTATTTATGAGTATAATATATAAACCAGCTGAAGCGATTAGTAGAAATGCATTGGTTTATTATACATGCTCACATTTTCATCAAGAAGATAATGTTTAAAATTTAAATAATTATCTCATAACTTAAGTAATATGACTGTGAACCTAGTGATGCAAATGTATATTAATGTGCATTATAGTATAGTGTATATATATATATATATATATATATTCTCTACATTTTATTTTCCTTCACATCAATTTTTCAACTGACTATTATTTTATTTTTTATTACTATTTGTTACATATCAAATTTTGACATTGTGGCTGTTTCAGCGAGTAGCAATCTTCTAGTTTCTTAGGTTCAGTCAGGCTTCGATCGTGCTGATATGATTTATTGTTTCACAAAGCGCTGGGAAAAAAAAAGGTTAATTTGATGTATGTGACAACAGCATTTGTTATTGATCATAGCATCTTTGGCTCTTCTCCAGTTTCTGATGGTTTCTTTAAAGATGAAGAGATTATGCATTATTTTATTATCAGAGTTTGAGAAAGTAAATTTGAAAATTGGCAAACTGTGCTACATGCTAATGGACCAGACTATTATTTTGAACATGAAAGCATATATAAAAAAAAATTAAATGGTTAGAATTTGGAGTCATTGAATGAATGTAATGCTAAGATGTTTCCATTCCTGCAATGCCTGTCCCACCATCTTGTTTACTGCAACTAGTACCCATAATTCTCTGTCATTTTTAGACTAGTATGAAAAATAAATGTTTGAATCTAAAATTAGTTTAGGGAACATGACTGGACCCTCACCTCTACTCGTAAATTTTGATTAAAAGACAACAAATGGCTTTCATTGTGCATTTAGTTCCACAAAGCAGAACCCCTGTAGATTCAAAATGTACAGTGCAATTTCCATTATCAGTCATTTACAAAAAATCAAAACCTATTTTATGCTGTACTGGGGCATTAAAAATGTTACATGTTGGCTTTTTATAAATCACTTTCCTTTTACATCCTTTATGGTGTAAGTTAGCTTATCTTGGCCCTTCATTACTTCCTATAAGTTTAATTTGTAAATCAAACGTATTTATGAAACAGTAAAATGCTGGACAACTGAACCATTAGTAGCGTTCTGCAATTTTTTTTTACAAGAAATCAGGTTTTATATGTTTGTGTTTTGTGCTTGTTTCCTTGACCGCCTATTACATAAAGTATTGGCTGTTTGTATTTATCTTCCATTTGAAAAAGGGTTAATTTTTTTTTTTTTAAATTGCTATTTATCAAGTCTCTGGGGACAGATGCAATTTACAACAGTGTCACCTCTCTGGAAAGCTGTGCTAATGCAAACAACACAGTATTTGACTTGCTAAGTCAGGATGCATTATACAATAAGTCATCTTTGTTTGGACTGGTGTTGCATGACACAGATAACACATAGTCTCTTGCAGTCATAGCTATTTACACCCTACTTACCCACATCACATTGTTGCCTAATGGTCAAAGTAATTTTATTTCCAGCATTGTTTGCTACAGTTTTAAGGTTCCTTTGCAATCTGACATTAAAGGAGCACTATAGTGCCAGGAAAACAAACTCGTTTTCCTGACAATATAGGGACATTAGGTCTCCCCCACCTTCAGGGCCCCCCTCCCGCTGGGCTGAAGGGGTTAAAACCACTTCAGCCACTTACCTTTCTCCAGCGCCGGGCTCCCTCTGTGCTGGGGAACTCTCCACCCCCTGCCGACGTCAGATCCGAATGCGCATGCGCGGCAAGAGCCATGCGCGCATTCAAACAGCCCATATTAAAGCATTTCTCAATGCTTTCCTATGGATGTCCAGTGTCTTCTCACTGTGATTTTCACAGTGAGAATCGCGGAAACGCCTCTAGTTGCTGTCAGTGTGACAGCCACTAGAGGCTAGATTAACCTGCAGTGAAACATAGCAGTTTATTTGAAACTGCTATGTTTTCAGCTGCAGGGTTAAAACTAGAGGGACCTGGCACCCAGACCACTTAATTGAGCTGAAGTGGTCTTTGGGTGCATATAGTGGTTCTTGAATTGTGTAGGTCACTCACTCTCTGAACAGGATATTACTGCATTAAAATCTTCATATTTTGCAGAGATAACACTCCCCCCTCGCCTCCCCCGCCCCCCTCCCCCCCTTGGGCCTCAAACACGTTTATCCCTTTTCTATATCTAGGATTGCCAGATCACATTATTAATTAAGAATGCTTGTAAAAATGCTTATTTCAGGGCTGTATAACTTAAAACGATGCCCTGAAGTATGTTTTGTTACAAGAATTTATAATTCAAATAGAGGCCTGACAATCTTACCCTCATCACACTGTCATTTTTCAAAGAGATAAGAATTTGCTGATGTTATCAATGTAGAATCCCCAGTAAACATGTTTAGAAATCCCTGCAAGCAAGACAATTCAGTCTTGTTAAAATGGATAATACAATAGAGTAACTTTTACTTCCAGATGAAGGACATAGGATTTACTGGTTATCTGCTCTCAGAGAAAATGTATTTTTTTTTGCTTGTGGTAAAAGGAAGGATGAAAGTAATGGTTTCTGGTGTAATCCAAGCACATTTGTTTTCATTAATCTAGGTTTCCATTTTTAGTTTCCATGTGAAAATTGAGGAGGTATAGGACTGTAAACTCAACACCGTGAAAAATATGATTAGCGTTGTGACATCAGAAGGTTTTCTGACCTGCAATATACCACACAAAATAGTTAGACAGGATTACAAAAGCTGCAATGCATAGCCAAATGTAGTATGTGTGTATAATTAAAGCTTTTTAAAAAAAATATATAATTCTTTATTTTGAAGTAGACCAGTGTAATGCAAAGCACAGTCTGCAAACGAGTTAAATTATTTAAATTGACAGGTTATATATTGCAATAAGGATCTGGAATGTTACTATTTTTCTAAATTTACCAGTAAAAAAAAAAAAAGAAGTAAAATGAATGAGTGGTGAGTTGGCAATAATAAGCACCAGAAGTAAGGGGAAACTAATTATGTGGGGGGTTTGTATAATAAGAGACCCATGAGTTCCCTATCTTTTCAAAGGAAGTAGGCAAATGGTGGACACTAGGTGACAGTTTATACATTCCTTATTTTGATACCACTGTCTTCTATCACATAATTTATGTATTGAGAAAAGGAAAAGCTTCTACACAGATGTATACAGTACAATAAACAATAAACACAAAATATATACTTGATAATATGATCTCGGTTATTTAATAATATGAAATATGAAATTAGCGTATTCTATTTATTTTCCTCAATTGGTGTTTTTTCATGTACATTTTTTTAAGTTTTTTTTTTTAAATCACAATTACATTTCTCAAAACCAATCGGCTACATGTGAAATGTTAGAATTGTGAGCTGCTGAGTTGCTGTGTGCTTTTTTAGTTAATGTTAATGGAAAATAATTAGAACAACTGCTTGTATTTGTCTTTTTCTTCTTATTGTTGAAACCTAAGATACAGATCTCTGTCCAAGCAATCACATGGCAGTTGTTGGCAGCTAGCATTGACCAAAGTTTTGTTGGCCATAGCTAACAATTCTAGAGTCTTCAAGGGGGAAGGAAATAGCAAAAAAAAAAAAAAAACCTTTCATGAAGGGTTAGGCTTTAAGTACTAGTGCAGACTTTCCTGTTTTTCATCTTATTAGCCATTAAAAATGTGGGTTTGTTGTTTCTTTTATGTTTCCTTTCAAGCTATTTTAATTATACACATGTGCTTCATCCTAGGCTTCATAACAAACCAATCAGGTTTACTGCATGTATAGCTCTAAACACACCAACCTTCTGGCAATACCAGTGAATGTCTGTGCTGTAAATATAACAGACTTGCTTGAGACTTTTAAGATGTTGGAAATGTCTTTTGACACCACACATATACTAAGACACAGAAGCCTTGCATAGAAATGAACCATGGCTTAATAAAATGTTTAAGTTGGGGGAAGTGTGTGGAGGATAGCAGTTCTTGGTTTTTCTTTTACCTTTGAATGTACTATCTATAAATGGATCATTTATTATCATAAAATAGCATTACTAACATCTTGAAGAGGCAAAGGGTTACATCATGTTGTGCAATATTTATAGAGAAATTAAATTTTTATGTTGTTGATTTTATACACATTGAAATTGCCTCTGTTCAGAAAGTGACTTTGCTAGGGTCACACTATCTCTGTTTTTGTGTGGCTTTAAACATCTTTGTAAGTAAAAGTCATTTATCATCTCTCTGCTAAAAGCAATATAGATTATTTGTGGTTATTTTCTGATTTAATCCATACAAACTGGTACTCGGCTTTTGCTAGCTGCCTGTTAAGTGAGAGCAATTACGTTTAATAATAGCAACATTTAGAGGTAGTGTTTTACAGCAGGACATGGCAAAAGCTATTTCCTGCTGTCATTTCTATCTTGATTGTGCATACACATACACTATTTCCTGTGGGTTTCAATTTGAGGCCACTAAAACCAAGGAAAGGAAGCACGCCAACCACAGCTATTAAAAGAAATCTAACTGAATCTGTGAACATGCTTTAGAAAATTACAAACTATATGAACTTAATAGAACTTTCTTTTCATTTGTAGGTGTCTTAGTTGTGAATGTCACATGGCGAAACAAAACATATGTAGGAACCTTGCTGGATTGCACAAAACATGACTGGGCCCCCCCAAGGTGCGTTTATTTTTTTTTAAAAGGGTAACGTGATCAACCTTTAAATTTAAAATAAAGATAAGAGTAATTGTAATTTTGTCATAATTTTTTTTGTTTTGTTTTATTTGCGTTAGTTGTGCATATGTTTTTAAGATATGTTTCATATTTTGAGATTAAATGCAAATGATTCAAATCCTGTTTTTATTCAGATTCTGCGATTCACCTACAAGTGACCTTGAAATGCGTGGAGGCCGTGGCAGAGGAAAAAGATCAAGATCAGCAGCTACAGCAACAGTGGCACCTCCTGGGACTGAGTCAACTTTCACAGAATCTAGAGGGCTTCAAAATAAAAACAGAGGAGGAGCTAATGGCAAAGGAAGGCGTGGAAGTATTAATACAAGTGGGCGCAGGACACCCCCAAATTGTGCCATGGAGGACATTAAAACAAGTCCTTCACCTGCTGGAAAAAGGAAAAGCAAACCCCCAATGGAACTAGACCTGAATTCCAGTTCTGAGGACAATAAATCTGGCAAAAGGATCAGGACAAATTCTCGAAGCACTCCAACAACCCCACAAGGAAAAAATGAGACTTCTTTTTTGGACCAAGGCTGCTCTTCTCCAATTCTAATAGACTGTCCACATCCAAATTGCAACAAAAAGTACAAGCACATCAATGGACTACGGTATCACCAGGCACATGCACACTTAGATCCCGAAAATAAACTGGAGTTTGAGCAGGACAGTGAGGATAAAGTTTCTGACTGTGAGGAAGCATTAAGCAATGTGGCACTTGAATGCAATGAGTCAAGCACAAGTTTGGATCAGTTAAAAGCACCCACATCTCCAAGTTCACACTGTGCCCCAGGCACACCAAAGAGCAAAAGAGAATTAGCAAATAATGGTCCAAATCAGATCGGAAATCCTAAAAGTGGCAAAAATTCTGGAAAAAAGAAAGGTTTAAATGTTGAACTAAGTAGTCTACCTGTAATTTCTAACATGGCAGCCACACTGGACAATTGTTCAACATTAGACAGTACCTTAACAGTAGAAATGCCAAAACTTGAAGCAGAAGGAATTATTGACAAGAAAACTGTAGGCGAGAAAGACAAAACTAAAAAAGCCAACAACTGCAAAATTGATAAAAATCTTTCAAAGCTCAAAACTGCTCGGCCCATTGCACCAGCCCCAGCCCCAGCCCCAGCCCCTACACCTCCTCAATTAATCGCTATCCCCAGTTCAGCATTTACAAACACTAATACAGGGACAATACCAGGATTACCCTCTTTAACAACTACTGTTGTCCAGGCAACACCAAAGAGTCCCCCATTAAAGCCTATTCAACCAAAGCCTACTATTATGGGAGAGCCAAGCACTGTAAATCCTTCTCTCTCATCCCTCAAGGACAAAAAGAAAAAGGAAAAAAGAAAACTAAAGGAGAGAGAAAGTAAAGAGCCTGTAAGCCCTAAAACAGACTCCAAAATTTGTAAAGTAGAGGATTCAAAAGGATCTGGAAAGGATACGCCTGGGCATTTTTTAAAAGAACATTTGAGCAAGAGTGAAGTACTTGCCAACGGATTAGGAGAAACTCAAGAGAGCCGTATGGCAAGTATAAAAGCAGAGGCAGATAAGGTCTATACGTTTACGGATAATGCACCAAGCCCTTCTATTGGAAGTGCCTCTAGAATAGAATGCAGCACTGTGATAAATGGACAATCTCCTATTGCACCGTTGCATGTTTTGACACAAAATGGAGGTGATAGTTCTGCTACCAAAACAAACAGCCCAGCATACTCTGATATTTCGGATGCTGCTGATGATGGGGGTTCTGATAGCAGGTCAGAGGGTGTGAGATCAAAGACCAGCTCTCCATCTGAAATTGTTTGTAATAAAGACAATATTGTTAAGGGGCCCTCCACACCTATACAGCAATCATCTCAAGCAAAAGAATCTCTTTCACCATATTACCATGGTTATGATCCATACTATTCGCCTAATTATGTGCACTCAGGACAGATCAACAATTCTGCGACTGGCAATTCTAATTCTGCACAGGTAATGAAAAACAAAAAAGACACTGAAGAAGAAACTGAGAAAAAAGAAAAAACTGAAAGTGCAGATTGTAAAAAGAATGAATTAAATACCAGTAATTTGCCACCTCAACATCAGTCTGTTATCACGCAACGGCATCCTGCACTAGCTCAGTCACTTTATTATGGACAATATGCATATGGACTTTACATGGATCAAAAGTCTTTAATTGCTTCAAATCCTGCCTATCGGCAACAATATGAAAAGTACTATGAAGATCAGAGAATGGCTGAGCAAAAAATAGTGCAAACCAGCAGAGAATGTGAGAGGAAAATAGAAAACCCTTCAAAGGAACTAGTGAAAGAGGAGAAGCTGAAAAACATGCCAACGGCTACTGTTTCAAAAGCACCTTTAACACCAGAACCTGGTAAAGTTAACCCAAAAATTGGAATTGTTAATAAATCAGATGATTCTGGAAAATCCCAGATTCTATCTAACCATCAGCAGCTTCAATGTGACAGTTTCAAGGCAAAGCAAATGGAAAATCATCAGCTCATAAAAGAAGCCGTAGAAATGAAATCTGTTATGGACTCAATGAAACAAACAGGGGTGGATCCCACCATGAGATTTAAACAGGTAAATTCTTCAACAGAATTGAAGTGTGAGTTCTTTCACTTGTCATGATAAACTTGCTTTCAGATGCTTGTTAATTGTATTATTAATGGTAATCATAAATTGTTGTAGCAGGTTGTGTGTGCTGTTTCCTGCTGAGCTGTAGAGACACTTTAAAGTAAATGCAAATTAAAACTAATGGTCTCTCTTTCCTTCAGGACTCTGACTCGAGATCATGGCATCATTACATATACCAATCAAAGTACCTCGAGCAGCAGAAATCAGAGGAAATGGACAGAGAAAAAAAGATAAAAGACGATAACCTGAGAAAAACACCAAATAAAGAGAGTGTTCAGCCAGTTGCATTACCTATTATGAAAGAAGAGAGCAAAGAGGTTAAACGCCCAGATTCTCAATTAATAGAAGAGGGCAAAAACAAGAATGAAGACCGAAAAACTCCTGTAAATTGGAAAGACTCCAGAAATGCTAGAGTTGCAGTGTCCTCTCCAATGAGTCAACATCAGTCATATATTCAATATTTGCATGCCTATCCATATACCCAGATGTACGATCCAAACCATCCAGCATATCGAGCAGTGTCTCCTGTTTTAATGCATAGTTATCCAGGTGGGTAGAAACATAAATAAATATGAGGTTTTACTGTATATTATCAGATTTCTAAATTGTGTTTTTATGTTTTGGTCATCGTTATTTAAGTCAAACAGGCAAACCCCCAAGTAATAGACTTCTGCAACTAATTTGCACAATTTTAGTGTTGTGATAAAAATTGTGTTTCATCAAAGTTGTATGTGAATATATTATCTTTATAGATCTCTAGCTACCATTAAGAAAGATAAAAAAGTGAAACTTTTTAACAAACCTTTATTTAATCTACTGTTGTTAAACACAAGTAACATATACCAAAGTTGTAACCATATGTCTTAAATCAGCTCCAGAATGTATTCTAAGTAGGTAGCAAACTGATACGTTGGTAAGTTCACAGGACCTATAAATCAGAAGGAACATTTAGAAACCATCATTAGTGTTTGATATGGACATTGGAGTACTACATAGATAACAAATGTCATGTTAATGTACTTGAATGGGACACTCTAGGATGGATTTATCATATTTTAATGTATTATGTATAATAAATAATTATAGTTTTTAATATCCTGTTTGTTGTAGAAAATGGCTAGTTTTTATCTCCTTTCTTTATTGATGCTGACAAGAGCAAATGACTGATTAAGATCTCAGACAAAATGTGATATTAGATGTCTTTCCTAGATATTCATGTATTTATGATGTTTGCTGTAACTGTACAGCTATATGTATCATGCTAATTGCTTCACCACTTCATAGTAAGCATGGTAGAGGACCAGTTGTAATTTTGATTTTATATTTTTTTTCCTAGGGGCTTATCTTTCTCCAGGCTACCCTCACTACTCAGTATATGGGAAAGTATCAGGACGAGATGAAACTGAGAAAGCCAGCACAAGTCCCAGCATTAACTCCAAATCAGTACCAGAATCAAAAGCATTAGACTTGCTCCAGCAGCATGCTAATCAATACCGCACCAAGTCCCCTGCTGTAAGTTAGTATAACTTTAAGTTTCCCTGGTATTTGCAATTTGATGTGAAACAACTGCAGTACATAGAGCTCTGCGTCACTGATTTTTACATAAAGTGGGTTACACCTGTTTCACAAACATAGGTCTGGAATGTGATTAATATTTATTTTACATAAATTAATTGTTCAGTTCTCCCATGTAGTCATGGATGTCACCAAAATGAGCAAATACAAAATCCATCTCTTAACCCCAGATGGAATTTATATCCACCAATACATAAATATCATGATAATATCATCTGCCTTTGGATGCTAGAACACAGCCAAGCCAAGCCTGCCTGTTAATATTGCAGAGCAATATATGTTTTATGTTTTTGTTTTTTTCTCATATGCTGTTGGTTTTAATAACTGTTATACAATACCTGTCTCTAATGTATATATAAGAATAACTTTAACAAAACCCAATAATTCTGATAGCAAATTCTGCTTATTTTTGGGATTCTTTTAGCTGGCAGAAAAAGCCACAACGGAGCGAGAACGAGAAACTGAAAGGGAGAGGGATCGGCATTCACCTTTTGGGCAGCGGCATCTTCATACTCATCACCATACACATGTTGGAATGGGCTATCCATTAATTCCTGGACAATATGACCCATTTCAAGGTTGGTATTCATTTACTGCAATTTATTGCACCACTGACATTTGGAGAATAGGAAAGGATTTTTGCAGTTTTTTAGTTCTTCTTTTAAATGTATTAATGTTTCCTTAATTTTTTTATTTAAAAAAAAAAACATGCTAGAAATGAGAAATAGCTCCTTCCCCCCTATGGGCTCAGTCTTCACAAAATTGTTAGTCAATAAATATCCATGAATATTCACAAACTCCATTGTGTACTCTAATGAACCTCAGATTGATCAAAATATATTTCTTCTAAGCACTGACCAACTGAGCTATTCAAAAGCATATTCAAAAATATAGTGGGTTTATCTCATTTAGCATACAACGTCTTTTCAAATTCCCCTTAGAAGAGGTATAAAAAAGTAAAAAAAAAAAAAAAAAAAAAGATACAGTAAAATAGTAAGTTTCACAGTGGTATGAATTTAAAACCAGAATGGTTAAAATACTAATTTTGGTACTTATTGCAATTAGGTCCATGGTTGAGTCCTTTTCTATCTATGCTCAAATTATATGCCCACACTTTGATAATGATATGCACATTTTCACTCCCATTTAAAAACATTGTAGTAAGATTATTTTAATATATTCCCACGGTCAGCCCCTTTACAATTCCCTATGTTTGCTTTTTTTTTTTTTTTTTTTTTGGATAGTTAAGGGAGTGCAGTTTGTGATGCATGTGTACTGCATTCAATGGAATGTACTCACATGGGGCTTTTCCTTTAGGGTTGACATCTGCTACCCTTGTTGCCACTCAGCAGGTGGCTGCTCAGGCATCTTCCTCCGGTATGTTTCCTACACAAAGAAGGTAAACAGAGTGTAAAATAACATTGTATATTAAATAAAATCACTTTTACAAATCTATGAATAATGGAACTTTTCAGTATTGCCACTTTGTACAACAATCAAGTGATGTACAATAAAATAAAAAAAGCTTTACCACATGGTAACAAATTAAAAGCAACAACTACAAAAAATCCCACAAAAATATCCACTTCAACCCATTGTCTCTTGTATAGTTTCCAGCACGATGCTGATGAATGTTTTCAATCTGTAGACTTAATGTAGAAATGCAAATGAGAGTTCAAATTGTCATTTTAGATTTTCTTTCTTTTTTTGTGAATATTTTAAGTTTCAGTAAGCTGAGTCAAGTGGCAGTAGCTGTGTTGATTCAAACAGAGACAAATTGATCAATTCCATTGTTGTGTTTCATATATTCATCACAAGTTGCTTCATAATAAAAAACAAAGTCCTGCATTTACTTTGTATAACAAGAAGCATAAAATTAACAATGGATATTTGTTGTGCAATATTTTCTTATTTTATATATATTTTAAGAAAGAAAATAGTGATGCTTAAAAGTTCCCTGGTGTACTTGTGAATAATGTATATTACTGAGTTTCAACTTAACATGATTATTTTATAGATTCTTAAACAACTCAATAAATGTAGCATAATGTTTAGATTGTAATCAATAAATGCTTAATCTTCTGCAATGTTCATTAAGATGATTATGGGCAGATTAAAGCATTTTATAAGATGCTCATAATTTTCACCTTTTTATAGCTTTGTAACATTTTTATATAGTAAATGTTTAATCAGCCTGGTTGTTTGAAAATACTATAGAATGCAAACATTTCTTGGTATTTAATTATGTAGCTTTTTGTTGGCTTCAAAGCTAGCTTTGACAAGTTTATACTGCAGATACAGTAGCTATGGTGGGAAATATAAAGAACGTGAAACCCTTTCTGTAATACGCATTGAGTAAACAGAACCCATGAGAATAGTGGGGAATGCTATTTCCAGGCTACAGATGTACACTCAGTAATTAGAGACACAATGAGAATTATGTGCCCATCAATAGAGGCTTTGTGAAGCCCAAATAAAGCTGTCCACAACTTGAACAGAACATTTTATACACTGACACACTACTCCGACTCCAGGCTTATGAATGTGAACAATATATTTTCATGTTGAATAATAAAAAATAAAAAAAATTAATTTTTTTTTTTCCTCTCTCTTTTAGGGAATGAATACATAGAAAATGTACATTAAGTCATGTGACTGGATCACATGGGAGAGTGCTTTATTACAGACATCAGTTCCATGGTGTTTATCTTTAATGCCTAAATGGCAGGCAAAAAGTCATTTCATTTTTGTAAATTGCAGATTTTATAACAGAGTAACATGTTCCTGTAATTAGACGTCTGTGTGCAAGTACAGCATATATATCTGTAGGTATATGTATGTACGCATCAGTATGTTTGTATTGTATATTTACATGCACACAAATATATATAAATAAATATATATATATATATATATATATTCTTTACTTTTTTTTTTTGTATCGGTAACCAGGCTCGCACACCCATGGGGGGGTCTGCTGCTAATTTGCAAACCAAGCGGTAAATTGAAAGTGTATTTGTCATGTTGGAAAGTGTTTACTACAAATGGCTGTTTTCTTATTTTCCCGAACGTGTATATAATGTTATGTATCCATGTGCCTAAAATACTAAAAAAATCTAATCATATTGGCCATAGACTCTAAAAGAGGCAGGCTGTCGTGACGACACTTTGGTACAATGTAGATGTCTATATGGTGGCTCCCATTTAAGATACATCAGTGTAAATGTTACTGTAATAATTGTTTTATTGTAATAGTGTATTGTGAAAATATACATATGGAAGACAAAGGGTTGCCAGCACCATACAATAATACTTTTGTACATAATGTATAAATGAAAAAAAAAGAAAACAAAAAAAAAGTAAATAATGAACATCTGTGAATAATGTGTCTCTTTTAATCTTGAATGGCCAATAACCCAATGACCTGCATACCAGAAGACATCTGTGATTGTTCTATTACTTGAATAGTCCTGCAGTCTTTTTTAATGTTTACAATTATCCTGTTTTAGAAGAGAAACTTAAATGCCATTGCCTGGTTACTTGTTTTATGCTGTAATCTAGTTTATTTTATGTAAAATGTATATTGAATGCTTTCATTTTTATACCTGCCTTAAATAATTTGGCAATCAAAATAAAATAAGTTGTTTTTTTGTATTGCCTTGTTCTTTCTTCATTTGTTTCATTCTTATTACAGTCTTCATTTTTATGTTAAAATATATTACATAATGCTGTCAACATTTTCCTTGCCCAGATTTAAGAGTATGTTTTCCAAATGTACATGGCTGCTCTGTAAGCTAAATCTCAAAGGGTATCTGTGCCATTTGAGTTGCCTGCATGTCAGAATTAAGCTCTAAAGATGCTGGTAAAACAGTATTGCAATTGGGCTTCTCTATGTTGAGCAATTTAATGACTATTTCACTGACTTGTACTTTGCTTTCACAAGCATTTGAGTTAGTTTCCAAGGTCAGCCAAATTGACCTTCATGATAATTTTACCTTGAATACCATAAGATGAACAGCTTTACAGGGTTTGTCTCTGGTTCGTATACTATGCTTTTAAAACTCTATTATGTCATATTAACTTCAGAAAAAGAGTATATCAGGCTTTTCACAAATACATACTGCCTCTGTAAAAAACAAAAAAACAAAAAAAAAAATTACTTGGAAGTGAACATCTATTTTTCTTTGAAAATATCTATATATCATTTAGTGTGAGACTAAAATAAATGGATTGGTGTTGACAGAAGAGAAGGATGTTTAAAAAAGTAGTGGGGTAAAAGAAGAGGTTGAAGGGGTGCGTGGGTGTGTGGTTAATTTCTCATGTAGGACATTCATCCAGACTGTTCAATGTAAAGCAATATTGTTTCCTTGTCTTTGGTAATGGGAGGCTGTTTCTTTCATTATCCTGATATCCTCAGCTTTTGCTGTCACCAATTGTTGAAAAGAAGGTGGATAAGTGTACCTCCAAAGAACTCGAATCAGGGATATTGATGGATTTGAGGTTTGAGAAATGTCTTATACTTGGAGACTCGTATTTTAGTTGTAAACATTTCTGCATGGCAAAGTTATAGTTCTTTGTTCTTTCACCCTTTTAAATACTATTGCAACACATGCTGGGCTGAAGAAGGTGATATGTAAAAAAAATATTTATTACCACTACACAAATTTACTCTTGTATGATGCCTCAGGCATATATAATGCTCTGCATTTTCTTCAGCAGTGCTGTACAGAGCTTCACAAGTAAATACATTTATATAATATTCTGGGCTTTGCTATACAAACCATGTAAAAGAAAATAAAAGAAACTGTGAAGGATTAAAAACAATGGACTACTGACTTGGAAAACAACCTTCCCTTTGTTTATTCTATTGTCTAGTTTAGCCATATTGTTAAATAAAAGGGTGTACCCCTTTTATGTGCAAATATTTATTTATGCTCTTATCAATAATGTATATGCATTTTAAATTAACACTGTATGTACTGCTTGGTTATTGAAACAGAACAAATCACAAAGTTCTCAAAATACATATATAAAGTTTCGTCTCACAATCTCATTAGACAATAAAGATGGGATTTACCAAGGCAAAACATGTACCATTTTCAAGTAAAGTGCCAAATATTGAGATATGTGCTACTGGTTTTTATAGGAACCACTCTTTAGCATTTTGCCCCAGAATAGCATTTGTTTTTGTCTTTATAAATCCCTGTACACGTTCCTTGTCTTGAGTGTTCTTACTGTAATAAATACATAAATAAAATTAAATGTGTCTACGTATATCATATTTGCTTAAGTCGTAAATATCTTAAGTCCTTTTGCTTTGGATCAAAAAAAATAGTCAGTAGGTTTTTAACTGACTTACTCTCAAATTACTACTGAAATGAAAGACAATAAATCAGACAAGCACACAGCAAACAAATAATTGCAATATGCAGGCATTCAAATAAAAATAGTTAACTTTGTTAGGTAGTTTTGCTTCATAAACAGCTAACTCGAGCCATAGAAATATCAAAACCTTGAATGTGACAGATAAGAACCATTTGGCCCATCTGTGCAATATTCTAAATACTTTCATTAGTCCCTGGCCTTTTCTTATAGCTAGGGTAGTCTTATTATTACATTGCCTATCCCATGCATGCTTAAACTCTCAAACTGTGTTAACCTCTACCACATCAGCTGAAAGACTATTCCATGCATCCACTACCCTTTCAGTAAAGTAATACTTTCTGAAATTATTTTTAAACCTTTGCTCCTCTAAGTTAAGACTATGTCCTGTTGTTGTGATAGTTTCTCTTCTCTGAAATATTCTCTCCTTCTTTACGGTGTTGATTCTCTTTATGTATTTGAATGTTTCTATCATATTTCCCCCTGACTCGTCTTTCCTCCTGATCCTTTAAGAACCAGTTTAATAGCCCTTCTCTAAACCTTCTCCAAAGTATCAATATATTTCTCTAGGACTGTGTACAATACTCCAAGTGAGGTCTCACCAGTGCTCTGTACAATAGCATGAGGACTTCCCTCTTTCTACTGCTAATATCTTGCATTGTCTGCCTACCTTTAAGTCATCTGAAATAATTGCCCCTAAATCCCTTTCCTCAGATGTTGAGGTTAGGACTCTATCAATTATTCTATACTTTGTCATTGGGGTTTTTACCCCCAAGATGCATTATTTTGCCCTTATCCACATTAAATGTCAGCTACCACAGCTCTGACCATTTTTCTAGTTTACCTAAATAATTTGCCATTTGGCTTATCCCTCCTGGAACATCAACCCTGTTGCAAATCTTTGTATCACCAGTAAAAAGACATACATTGCCATCAAGACTTTCTGCAATATCACTAAGAAAAAAAAATGAAGAGAATGAGTCCAAGTACAGATTCCTGTGGTACCCCACTGGAATCTGTGGACCTTGCTTCGAATATACTCCATTGACTACATCCCTCTGTTTCATGTCATTCAGCCACTGAATAACCCATTCAACAATATTGAAATACAAACTCAAACATTACAGTTTATTAATGAGCCTTCTATGTGCAACAGTGTGAAAAGCCTTACTGAAATCTAGCTAAGCAATGTTAAAAACTCAATAAGATTAGTTTGGCATGGGTAAACCCATGTTGTCTTTGATCTTGAAATCCATGTGATTTTAGATGTTTAACAATCCTATCCTTTAACATGGTTTCCATTACTTTCCCAACTACTGAAGTAATTCTTACTGGCCTGTAGTTGCTTGACTGTTCCCTACTACCTTTCTTGTGAATTGGCATCAAACAGGTCCAGAGTACTGAAGTAAGACCTACTGACCTGTAGTTTCCTGACTCCTCCCTACTACCTTTCTTGTGAATTGGCACCAAGCGACAGTAGTCCCAGAAGATAATTACTGGGGAAGTCATATGTTGCATTTTCAGTTGAATTTGGGGAAACCACTTGAAACATTCTGTCATGATTCTGATCAAGTCAGTTAAGAGACTTATACCGGGGTTAAGTTTATGTTCTTTATTGAAATTGTAAGACATCTTTTAAACTTGAAATAATAATAAGTAAAGCAAGCTTTAAAGGAAATAAAGACAAAAGGGACAAAGTAGTACCTACAAACGGAATTACAGGTAAGTAGTAATGAGGTTATAAAAAAAAAGGGTTTAGACAATAAGCCACGGACAGGTTATAGAGAAGTAGATAGAAGCGAAACCTATAAATGGAATTATAGGTAGAAATAAGTAAATAGTGAGAAGGAGCACCTATAAACGGCATTATAGGTAAATAAGAGGTTTTACAGAAATAGGTAGAAGTAGAACATATAAACAGAATTATAGGTTAAGAGGAAGAAGGAGGACCTATAAGCGGAATTATAGGTTAGGAGGAAGAAGGAGGACCTATAAGTGGAATAATACGTTAGGAGGAAGAAGGAGAACCTATGAGCGTAATTATAGGTTAGGAGGAAGAAAGAGAACCTATAAACGGAATTATAGGTTTAGAGGAAGAACAGAATTAAGAGTTTAGGCAATATTCCTCAAGCAGGTTATCAATTAACAGGTAAATCAAGAGAGGGAAAACTTAAAGGGGAAATTATAGCTTACTGGCAAACAATATAATAAGTGATATAATCAATGCAGGTTAAAATAGACATTTAGTTATTTAGAGTCTTTTAGTTGGAGGCAGTAATGCAGTTATAAGATAATTGCAGCAGGTTTATTCAGGATAGTAGCAAATAGTTAAAATAGTCAGTATCCAGGTATAGAATACAAACACAACAAAAGAATGGTGGATTGGCGCTTAGAACCAAAGAATAAGCAACTACCCCCAGTGCCCAAAATCACTAAATGGCACTCAGATATGAAGTGAAAGAAAAAGATATAAGGGGGGTGCAAAGGAAATATACAAAAATCTTTTATACTTAATATAATGAGTAGAACACCTCCTGATTTCCCTACAACAAAAACACATACATAGTGTAATACTGTCATGTAAGGAACATTAATCAATCAAAGGTATTGGGTCACTCACAGTATGCAGAGCCACATAAAGCTGGCTCTGACTTCAGTGACAGGTGAATAATTAGCTTATTCTGGCTTTCAGATTCCTAGACAGGATAGTTTCTTTCCAGCCCTTCAATGATTTCCAGGATATCTCATTAGTAAAGAGCAAATTAAAACTTTACTAAATAAAATACAGGAAACAGAAATAAGCTTAAAATAACATGAGAAATAAAAAGTCCACAGCACTAATGCGTTTCGACCTCCAGGTCTTTGTCAAAGTGTGTGGTAAATGCTGGTCTTCTCTCTTTTAAATAGTACTTCTGTCATTGAATTTGGCGCCGTTTTGCCGGCGTCCGTCTTCACTTCCGGGTCCACCAAACACCCGCATCACGTGACTCTCCGTCCGGTCACCTGATTCTGATGTCATACGCAATGACGTCACTTCCGGATTCTCGATCTTCACCTTGTAAATTTTTGGGATGTCGGCAGTACTGGCGTTTTCTCCATATTTGAACTGGGAAAAGAACCAGTTGCAGAAAACTTCAAATAAATACATCTAGTATATAAAGTGAATGTTGTTATTTCTCCATATTTAAACAAACACTAAACAAGTATGCATATATACATTACAAAAGGAAACATATTCTCAACTAAAAAATATTTCATAATATTGCACATCTATATAACAATAACAGTTCGTAAAATACAAATTAAAAACATATCCTTACATAGGAAATATTTCATAGAATTACACATCTATATGTCAAATTCCTTAAATAAGAGAACATACTTTCAACTGGAAGATATTTATTATTTTAACATATCTATAATATGAGGAGGAGGATCCCCTTAAAGTGAAATATACTTATAGTGGGGAATAATTGATAATGCATAACTATAAGTTAAAAATACCTCAATAAAAATAATGCAAAATATGTATCTATATATAAAAAAGTGGTACATAATACATGTGTAGGAGACAAGAAGATAGAAAAATATTAATTAATTTTAAAAAATAATAAAAAAAATTGTAAATAATACCTAAAAAAGTGGAAATCCCCAATTAAAATACCCAATAAAAATAGAATACACAAATAAAATTAAATAAGTGCTGACATCTCGAAATCGACGTTGAGTCCACCAGGAGATGCCAAATTGAATATCCACTTCATCTCGCAGTGGCTCAACATCGATTCCAGATCCCCCCCTCTCCAATGGGCTTCTATCTTTTGTATGCTGAAAAATTGGAGTCCAGAGGGGTCTCCTCCATGGCATTTAAAAAAATGTAATGATACATTGTGTTTTAAAAAAACCCTCCTAATATTATAGATATGCTCACGTATCCTTGTTTTAAGGCACCTAGATGTTTTGCCAATGTATTGTAGCCCACAAGGACACGTGAGCAAATATATCACATTATTAGAATGACAGGAAATAAATGAATCTATCTTATATATCGGGTTACCTGTCCTAGATTTAAAATTTTCCACCTTCCTATTTTGATATTTATAGTTTTTACAACCCATACAATCTCCACAATAAAAGAATCCCTTTTTACCATCTTTGTATGACTCTAAAAAATTAGTATTGGGGATATCTATATAACTTGAGGTGAGTATATTCTTTAAACTTTTTGCTCCCTTAAATACAACTTTCGATTTGTTTTCTAAAAATGGTTGGATTTCCTGGTCTTGTTGAAGAATACGCCAATTTTTATTTAGAATTCATTTTAGTTGTCTCTGGTCTTTACTATAATTAAAAATAAGTGGTATAGTTTTTTCTTCTTTCTCTATCTCTCTTATTTTTTGTTTATATGTAAGGAGGGTATTCCTATCCACATCTCTAATCTTATCTATTTCTCTATTTAAGTGTTCCAACTTATATCTTCGATGTAGAAATTGATTTTTAAGAATATCAGCCTGGTTGTTAAAAGAATCCAAGTCAGTACAGTTTCATTTAAGTCTTTGCGTATGACATCAGAATCAGGTGACCGGACGGAGAGACACGCGATGCGGGTGTTCGGCGGACCCGGAAGGGAAGACGGACGCCGGCAAAACGGTGCCAAATTCAATGATAAAAGTACTATTTAAAAGAGAGAAGACCAGCATTTACCACACACTTTGACAAAGACCTGGAGGTTGAAACGGGTTAGTGCTGTGGACTTTTTATTTCTCATGTTATTTCAAGCTTATTTCTGTTTCCTGTATTTTATTTAGTAAAGTTTTAATTTGC